CCTACCTACCGTGCAGCATTCCAAAGGACTTTGACTCTTCTCTAGCAACATGCGAGATGGCCAATAAGCGCGAACACTGCGCTCGCGAAGGCATCAAGAGTAGTCTAAGAGCTTGTGGCCATAAAAATTAGCCAAGCGGTTTCTAAAGTGCATTTTAGTTTCCCTCACAACACACAGCCCACCGCCGATAAATAGAGATAGACTGCGCTCGCGAAGGCATCAAGAGTAGTCTAAGAGCTTGTGGCCATAAAAATTAGCCAAGCGGTTTCTAAAGTGCATTTTAGTTTCCCTCACAACACACAGCCCACCGCCGATAAATAGAGATGGACATCTGTTTACAAAAAAATTATTTCAGAGATTCGAATGTTCCGTATATAAATATTACCAACAACAATACATATCTAAAATACAGTTTTAATGCTCAGACAATAGAATATATCGGTTGTAAAAAGAACATACTACTCATTTGGTTTAATATTCTATGAACTTAAATCACAAAACAACAGTAGAAATTTACTTCACAATAAATGATGAAACACATGCACACAGAGAAAATGAAATTCGACATAAGAATAACACCCTCAAATTATCCACACAAATATAGTATTCAGTGAAACTTGGAAAATACACGATATCTCACTATTCTCAATGCAAGGTTCTAAAACGGTATATAACTCAGAAAGCTTAAATCAAAACGATGGAATCATTATATACATTAAAGATGACAATATTAGAACACCGAGAAACCATACCAATTGGACAAAATAAAATAATTAGTATAAAACTAAAATATGACAGTTATTCTACACAAAGCATAGATATATACAGAACACCATCTTCTTTAATCGAAGACTTTTATTCTCATTTGGAGAATTACTTAGGACTAAGTCAACACAATAAAGATGTAGGTGACTTGAACATAAATATACTCATAAACCAAAACTATGGGACACTTACACAAATCTTTTAAACTATCTTGGCTTTATCTCATATAGACATATACCTACTCGTGTACAAAATAATTCAACATCATGCATAGACCATTATTTATTAGAGATTTGGAATGTATATTATCTAAAAACAAGACCCAAACAAAAAAATCTTAAAAAATAAAGAAATATTATTAAGAAACTAAAATTCTATATTAATACATGAACAAATACAATACAAATACAAATAAAATGAGTTAAAGTAAAAAGAAATAAATCGGTCAACAATCATGTACTAAAATAAAAGGAAGAAAGATGGCATACAAAGCAATGCGTATAAATCCAACTTCAGCAAATATAGAAAACTATAAAAAGTCACGAAATAAATTAAATGAAGCAAGTATCAAAGCTATATATATATATATACAGGGTTATCCAAATTAAGTGTCCACCATTAGTAACTTTGTTATTAGTGAAAATACAAAGTTGTTTGAATTAGCAAACTAGTAGCATTTTTAACGCTGGTAAAAATGAGAAATAAAAAAAAACAATTGAGAGTCGTTATTTTGATTTTTTTCAGTAAAATAACATTTTTTTAAATGGAAACCCCTGTATATTATATTTTTTCTGTTAAAGCATCAAATTTTAAACAAAAAGCTTACAATAACTTTTCTCCTAGGTTACAAATTGTTGAAGTTATGGCCTCCAATCTGAAACAATTAAATTGTATCGACAAACTTTATTTTCAACATCAACTTATAATCTTACAAAATACAATAACAATTTTTTTTAAAGAAGATGCTCGAAAACACCACCTTGTTCTTCAATACATTTTTGGGCACGTTTTTCAACTGCTCGAACTGTCTTAAGTATGGTCCTACCATCTATCTGGGTTATCTTTTCCCTAACTGCAGTCTTTAACGCGTCAAGGTTATCGTACCTTCGCTTGTAAATTTGGTTCTTTAAGTAACCCCACAAGAAGTAATCAAGTGGGTTTAGATCTGGTGATCTGGGAGGCCACTGTATTGGGCCATTTGTTCCTATCCACTGATCATTAAAAGTAGTACTTAGAAAATGATAAGTACCTCTGGAGTTGTGGGCAGGTGCGCCATCTTGCTGAAAATGCAGATGATGTCTACTTATAAGATCCAATTCGTCTAAGAAATTAGTCAGAATTTCTGACATAAATTCCACATATCTTTCACCAGTTAGGGTTCCCTCATAAAAGAACGGGCCAACAATTTTTGAACCAATTATACCGCACCAAACGTTGAAACTGAAACGGACTTGTGGGCCTCTTGGATGTACTAACAAAAGATTTTCTCTTGACCAATAATGGTGGTTTTTTCTATTAAACATTCCAGAATTTGAAAAATTTGATTCATCTGTCCATAAAAGGTAACGAAAGTTATTTACATTTTGGCGACAGAAGCTAAGATACCAATGGCAAAAAACAAGTCTTCTCTCTGGATCCCCTGCCAAAAGCGTTTGAACTGGTCGGTACTTATACGGAATAAATTTGTATTTTTTTAAAATCCTTTGAACAGTACCATAACTGAAATTAGAGTCCTTGAGAATATCTGCTATTGAATTCTCACGATAAGCTTCAAAATATCCAATAACTGCAATTTCCGTGGCCTCGCTTATTATGAATTCTTTTTTTGCCCTTGTTTTAGCAAAAACATTTTCGTTGCCCCTAAATTTTCGATAAAGTCTCAGAAAATATCGTTCATACGGTTGAATGCGAGCGGGATATAATTCACTGTAGTATTCTCTTGCTCTCAAGGAGGATTTTCTGCACACTAAATAGCATTCTAACATATCACACTTTTCTTCATGGGAGAACATTTTTCTTTAAATTAATGACACAATAAAGCTTATAAACAAGTATTTACACTAATGTTTGACATTATTTGATTTTATCATTGTTTTCCAAAGCCTTCTAGTTGCGAGTATGTCCAGTTTAACAATTTGTCGCTTATCTTAATGCTGTCAAATCGCGAACGCCATGTTGTTTTCATAGCCGTCTTAATATTATAATACTGCAAATAATTAAAAATATTTATCGTTATTTTGACTTTATTTTTGACTTTAGCGGAAAAGTCATTATGAACTTTTTTGTTTAAAATTTGATGCTTTAACAGAAAAAAATATAATATACAGGGGTTTCCATTTAAAAAAATGTTATTTTACTGAAAAAAAAAAAATAACGACTCTCAATTGTTTTTTTTTATTTCTCATTTTTACCAGCGTTAAAAATGCTACTAGTTTGCTAATTTAAACAACTTTGTATTTTTACTAATAACAAAGTTACCAATGGTGGACACTTAATTTGGATAACCCTGTATATTAATTTCAGATTATTGTACGACGTTTTGGCCACCACAGTGGGTTAAAATATGTGTGTGGTTTGATTCGGCAGTACAATAGAGTCCTACGAACATACAAACCGCAGGACAACTTTCACGTCAAAGTTTACTCAAATTTTACTTTTTGGGAAAACACCTAGTTTGGTTAGATATGGTCGAGACTATAACCCAGAAATACAGTTGAGACCATTAATGAACAAAATTGCACATGTACAGATGTAAAGAAAGTTTCAAATTATATACAGGATTCATAGGCATCTTGGAATATTCTGCTTACCTCAACCTGAACACATGTTTCTTCTTCTTGTAATCCTGCGCTTGGCTAGCCTGCGCACCTCTCAACGACAGCGGTGGTTCGCCTTTGAAACGTTGATCGGGTGTCGACTTGGCATTTTTCGCGTCCCTGTAAAAGCTCATCTGTGTTCCCTTTACCAAACAATACACCTTGTCCCAGGATCTGTTCGTCGCCTTTGTTGTGGTGCTCTCCCATTCGTGTTTTCGCACCAGATGGCCTTCCAAGACGTCGCCGCTGGCGCCACTATCGCTTGGACCGCTTCTATAAATGTAATATGAGTATTATGATCCGAGGTTCTCTGGCGAAGCTGCTTGTTGCAAACACATATAGACTTTGTTAGTTGTGGGATTTGCACCGGGTTTGCTTTGGAAAATAACGGGAAACTACACTTTATAATGAACTGCGCCCTTATTACGTAATTTTGATTCGTGTCGTACTGGTACTATCAGTGGCGAGCACTAGATATACGTGGGGCTGTACGGCTTGAACTTGCAACACTATTAAGGAGATTGCATCCGACTTCCTGAACAGTAGCGAACACTGTTCTGTACATGCAAAGGATACACATTAATTATCTCTATATATAAATGTGAATGTCTGTCCAGTGTGTCAGCATCAACTCTGAACCACAATATTGAAAAATTTGTACACTTACTAACTGATACCCGATGAAGGTTATGAAGACGAGTTTATCCGCAAACTCTTGGTCGATTTTGTAATCAACTGTCACAGCAAGTAACAAAATCTCCATCGTCAGCATCAAGCAGGCAACAGCGCAGCCTTCCCTCGCCCTACTCCATCTGTGATACAGTCGCTTTATATTGCACTAGCTGTTACCCGCGACTCCGTACGCTTGAAAATGTTTTTTATTTTAGATGGCATTTGCCAACTTGCATGCTTTGGGAATTTTGTTACTTTATTCGTGGCGTCATCGAGTACCCGTTCCGCGGGTAAAACCGCGAGGCAGAAAGCTAGTACAGTGATAATTTGTATTAGTAATCACATAGTATTAAACTTGTACACATGTATGTTATTGCGCCAACGTCTGAATGCAATCTTTAAACTGATATTTTCTTGTTCCAAAAGTATACTCCACACTTTACCATACAATCGTAGAAGCGGCCATTACGTCAATCCTCCAAAGATGGTGGGCTACTTGTACTTTATAGCAAATACTGCAATAGCAACCCGTCAGTGTAAACTGTTTAGGCGAACGGGCCTAAGTGTACTTCTCTATTACTTCCAAAAGCAAACACTGATTATTATTTACATTATAAATACGAGTATATTAGATTATATACATATTACATACAAATTATATGATAAATATGGTAGTAAAGTTATTCTACAGCTGTCTAAAATGGTCTATATCTACTACAGGTTTACTGAGCGACGGAAGCATAAGATTTAGAAGAATGCCTGGTCACTATTGGGCGCCGACGTGAAGATGGAACCATGACATGGGCGAGTCACATGTCGATTGTAGCTTTTTATATAAGGCCCGGTTTAACTAATCCCCGGCGCAAAGTTTGCATCCAGGGCACAAACTAGGCCAATCAGATGGCGTTTTTGAAGTAACGGATCTAAGGAATTTAGACGAATTCCTGTAAAACATCTCTCAAACTAGAGAAAAATTCTACGATTTGTGTAAGCTGGGACCCAAAATTCTTATAAATTAAGAAATACTTCATATATCTCATGGTTTAGCTACACTTTTTTTGCATTTGACCCCGGGCACAAAATTTGCGACTAGGGTACAATTTCCACTAACCAACCGACCTAGTCGCAAATTCTACCAATCAAAAAGAAGGGATTTGTGTCCTGCTCGAAACATAGATCAAACCTGATACAATATCTAGACTGATATGGCAGCAATCACTGAGCATTTTATTGGAAATAAGAGTCACTACATGAGACGATATAATTTTGGAAAAAGGATATATTTTCAGCAATTCATCAGCACGGACATTGAGGTGCAGCTAAGCAAAAACCCATTTTTTTCTCTTTAAAGGTTTGAATCAGGTAACTCAAACCAGATCATTAATATTTGTCCTTGCTGTACAAAATTCTGCTTATTAAATTTTTCAGGACATAAAATTACAGAATGCTTATTCGTTAACAAACTGTTTGTTTTTGAATACGTTTATGCTCAACACGTCTTTAATGATAATTTTCTTGGCTTATTGCAATAGGTAGCCAATGATACCACTGGCGTCCACTAGAGGATGCTGAGCATGAAAGTAGTAGAAACCGGATTGTTCACACGGTAGTCAAGTAAACTGATTATTTACTGGATGATTTTTGAATAATGAGCATTCTGTAATTTTTTTCGAATCCTTAAAGATTTATTATGAATAATTTTGTACTGCAATGACAAAAATCGATGATCTAGTTTGACTGACCTGCTACAAACCTATAAACAGAAAAGTAGGTTTTTGTAGCTAACCTGAATGGACATGTTGATGGAGTGTTAGAAATATATCCTTTTTTTGAAATTATCATCAGGTTAAGTAGTATCACTGGTATTCTCAATTAACTGTTCAGTAATTGCTGCCATATTAATTTGTTACATTGTACTGAGTTTGATCTATGTTTCAAGCGGGGCCCGAATTCTTTTTGATTGGTCGAATTTGCAACTAGGTCGAAAATCCTATTTGATTTGTCGGATTTGCCTCTAGCTCCCAAAAGTAGATTCCTGCGGTTTAATAGTAAAATCGGACATGAATCATACATTTCTTAGCACTCATATATAAAATTTGTCCCTGTAAAATGCTTAAATCCATGTATATATTATGAACACCAATTAGAGGCAGAAAGCACATGCCTCTTATTGGTTGACCCACATTTTTCAATTTGAATATTTCACAATGAAAAAGTGTTAGGGATTTTCTGCATGACTGCTCTGCCACTAGTCTGGTACTACGGCCTCGTGGTTTGCCGCCAATCGCGGTCACCTGTCGCTATCTCCCGCGGTACGGCACCTTTAGACATCCATATACTGAACACTCAATAATGTTCAAGTCTGTTGGGCGTCAAGTGGATGTTCAGTTTTTCTTTACACATAACACAAAACTTACTATAAGGAGAAAAGACTGCGAGGCTTTTATTTTTGAAGTTTAATAATTCTTTTAACTCACCTTAATTTTGAATTTTTTTGGTAAAAAAAGGGAAACAAGTTTTTAGTTTGTTTAAAATATTTCTACGAAAAGATCAAGAAGAGTAGTCGTTTTTATTTGTATAAGATTGTTTGACAAAGACTGATAAAAGTAAAATAACATGTTTTTGTTTATTTGAAGTTGTTATTTCATAATTATGTTTTCTAATTAGAAATATTTGATTATAACAATGAAAAAAAGTTTATGTGAAGAATAAAGTTTTTGGTTGTCTATTACAACATGATTTTCTACTGAAAAAATAATAAACAGATTTTTTTTTGTTTTATTTAAGTATCTAACATTATTTTCAAATTCTCTTTTTATAATATAATATAATATTCGCATGGTTGTCGCCAATCATCGCGATGCATCACTAATGCTTACCAATTTTTTTCTATGACTATAGGATGAGTCCAAACTATTTTTAAGTTTACTTTAAAGTTTAATATTCTTTTAGCTCAGCTTTATTTTCAATTTTTTGTTAAAAAAGGGAAATCAGTTTTTTTTTTTTATACTCCAACTACCACGAAGGCCTGAGGCCTAAGCACTCATTGGGTACCGTGGGGCTATGGGGGACACATGGGAAAGGGGGGACGCCACACGGACTCTGGCGAGGGAACACGTGTGCATGCAACATGAACACATTCTGGCTCCGCCTACGAGAACCGCCGGGTGGTACCTCCGCGTTCGACAGTCAGAGACCATCTACCACCTACGGACAATCACAACATCCATGGCCAAGAGAAACATTTCTCCTGGGACGGGAATCGAACCCGCACAGCGTACGGCGACTGATCAGGAGACCGAAGAGTCTACTACTGCGGCCACCGCTGCTGCCTAAAACAAACACACAACATCCATGGCGAAGGCGAGATTCGAACTCGCGGCCCGGCCGGCCGGCTGATCAGTAGCACGACACTCTGACCCACGCGGCCAACCGAGGTCCCAGAGTTTTTAGTTTGTTTAAAAACATTTTTTTCAAAAAGTTCAAAAAAACACATCGTTTGTATTTTTAAGGTTTATCTGTATAATATTGATTGATAACTACTGATACAAGTGAAAAAGAATATTTTATTGTTTCTTTGAAGTTGTTACTTCATAATTATGTTTTCTAATAAGAAATATCTACTTATATTTATTACACTAAGGAAAAAAGTTTATGTGAGGAATAAAGTTGCTAGTTGTCTATTATACTTTTCTACTAAAAAAATATATTATTTATATATATATATATATATATATATTATATTTTTGGTTTGATTCAAGTACCTACTAGCTTTTTCATATTCTTTATTTCTGATATTCATATTCGCAAAATACTCGCATGGATGTCGCGACATCGCAATACATCACTAATACATACCAAATTTTATCTATGGCTATAGGGTAAGATAAGTCAGTTGTTTTTAAGTATATTTTAACTGGATATAAAACAATTTGCCCATACTATATCATCCGATGGCGGTAGTTGCAACCGTTGCCTAGCAACAACTACAACTACGGCCAGACATAGATGGAGTTTAAATTAGCTGGACCACCAAGGAAAGAAGAAGCCGGTGGGCTAAATGGGAGACTTTGGTAATATTAACATAAAGTACACTTTACCGTTCAGATATAGAAAAAGTATCATTATCATGAAATAACCATTTTCTGTTTACCTAATACTACAGAGTAATATACCGAACTTATTCTAACCAATATTGTCGTGACATAACATTATAAACAGATTAAGATATCCTCAATCAAATGTTCAGATAGTCGACGTAATTATAGCATTTTGGTTTAATTCTTTCTTTGATAACGTTGGTCGTCTACAAATTATCGGCAATCCTGAATCACTGAAGCACAATGCAGGCTCAACATAAATTCAATATCACATAACTAACAACTAGACAAAACATCGCTAAAATTTGACCACCACCAATATCCATTTCAAGCAACGATACCTTGGTAAGCTGAGGAAGCCCCTTCATCATCACTATGTGCACCTGTGGATATTTTCTTCTCCTTTTTCCATCGAAAACTCCTGAACGGTGACTTACTGCGTGAACGTTCCTTTTTCCTAGACTTCAGTTCGCTTCTTGCTTCTTTGGAAAAATCACAAACAAGCATAACATAAAAACATAGCAAAAACGAAAAACACAAAAGCTAAGCTTATAATAAAAAATAGCAAAAATACCATGCTGTAATATATCCACTACGATTTGTACGCTACGGATAAACAGGTAGAATGGAATAAATACATTTATTATAATTTACAATAATTTTGTCAAGTAACGAACAGAGAAACTGAACACACTCCTTCCTTTGCTGTATGTTTAGTATGTTTGGTGTAGCATGTTTCTACGTTATAAAGTAATTAGTTGGATAATATTTGAAAAACAGAGCTTAGAATCACAGAATATGTGGACAATGTTCCAAATTCATGTAGAACGCAGAAAATAATGTCAAATTCTTATAGAAAAATTTCCCACGTGACTATAAAGGATGAACGAATGTTTAACATCAACAAAAACAATGAACTTGTTTAGATCGTCAGGTACGGAATAACTCTGTTTTTTCTCGAGTATTTCATTTTTGCATAGGCAAATAGCTTTTAATACTGATTTAAAATATTATAGCATGTCATACATTATTATAAATTTTTTTCTTGAGTAAGTCCTTGACATTATTATATAGTGATTTCTTAGAATATCAAATATTAGATTATACATTTTATGCATTGATATAACAGTTCAAGTGCCTAACTTCATATAGATGGTTTAAACTCATTGAATGAGGAACAACATAATGTAACTCATTCATATTATTTCAAGTAATTATCAACTAATCCATTTATTTTATCATCTAATAGATATTGATTCAGCTTGTGTACATGAACAATTTAATTTTTGTAAAAATGTTCTATCCATTTAATTTTTGCCGAACTAGGGAAAAGCCGCGCTCCCCCTTGCCCCCCTGGGTACTCCCTTGGGACCTATGAAGGGTATGCTAGCCCCACTCTTTGCCAGAGTGTCGGCTGTCTTGTTTCCTTTCAGACTCGTATATCCTGGTTTTCATATGGAATGCACCGTATTTCCATCCCCTATGCTACCAAGAGCTTCTTTACAATGTCGCATTTATTTCAAGAAATCTCGTAACCTGCGGCATCAGTCCGCTAAGTGGCAACGCTGCTCCTAAAGACGGTAATTGATAGGTAAACATTTTTTAAGAAATTGATGGCGCCACGGTACCCATGCTTATTTTCGTCCAGGTATGCCTGTCAAATGAGGTGGGTATCTTCTGGTGGATTATGCTAATCAACGGTAGAGTCAATGAAATGCCACATGCGGTATATCATAATGTACAAAATAAGAAAAACTCGAACTATGCTGTTAAGCTGTGGGCTCAGCCATCTCACCCAAACCACAGTATAGTCTTTAACGATGAAGTGAATGAGACAGAGTATGAAACCGGTAATTAAAAGGGTGACGTAGGTTTCTGAAAAATAATTCATCTCACATCAATGGTACTTACGTGCAAGAGGTTTCCTTGTGTCCCGTGGATCAGGTGACCTTGAAGTGCTTGGGCCTACTGGTCTCTGCTGCTGTCCATGCACTACAGAACATGCTCATGCATTAATAAAAGCCATGCAAACGTATGTCAAGGCAAAAAACACAATTCAGTGATGACTACTTATTCATTAAAAGGAAGATATAACAAAAATATTGGTGGTGCGATTAATAAAGCTGATGTTGGGACTTACAATTTTTACAGCATTACGTACATGTCTTGTATTTACTGGTCGTTTGTAGATACTTTATTTTATTTGTTTTATACATTCGCCACGTTGTAGGAGAATCCAAACCAAATAACTATTCAAAATATGCAAGTCAATTTACACTTGAGGAAAATGGAGGAAGAGTATTGAATCTGTGATTGGCATCCATAGTTATATCACACACCACCCACTTCCATTAAAGGAAATATTGAAATTAGACCTGTTAATATTGTATTTCCATTCATACTGTATGCATGGTGACAACATAAAGTAACCACAAGTAGATCAGCAAATCCAAAACTAAGCTGAAAAAATTGGAAATCGCACTCACAAGTTTTGGATGGGTACAAAGTTGATAACATATTGGGATACCTTTTAGATAAACACTCCAGCGCCATAACTGGCAACGCTAGTAATCCTAAGCACGTATCATATTGTGCGTTCAAGAGATAATGCAAATATTAAACAAACTTAAAATCGAAGGGTAAAATAAATTTGATCGGCGTACTGTGACGTGTTATTTACTTACTTCTCAGATGCCTACATGCATATGTGAAAACAATAAATATTACCTGCAGAGCAAACAATTGGGACAAACAGCACTTAAAACGGTAAAAATGCCCATTACAAGATGTGATCAGAAATAATCCATATGCAAGACTAAACATTCGATCATCGTCTTGCTTAAAGACTACTACCTTGTCTGGAAACGTCTAGACTGAGCATATCCCAATACTCTATTAAGTAGTGCTGTCCTAAAGAAAAAATAATGTGGTTTAGCTGCTCCTCCACATTTTAAAATCATAATAAAATAAAAATCAATTTTCATCAAAACCAACAAGAAAATTTGAAGCCCTGAAGTTACCTGTAACTGTTAAAGAATATATCCTTGCTTTAAAGGCACGTAACTCACCTCGTTCCCTCTATACTGTGCATCTCAAAATGAAATATGAAGGATAATCTTGTAGTTCCTGGAGAATAAACTGAAACAAATATTAAATAAAATACACTCACCAACTCTCTCCTCGCCCGATTGAGCACCCGTATCTGGATGATCCGTGGATACACGTTCAGCTTCCTTAGGTTTCGCTGCTTCCATCTGAGCTCTTCGCTCAGCCTCCTCTTTTTCTTTTCTTGCCTTTTCGGCAGCCTCGGCTGCTTCCTGGCGCCTCTTCATTTGTCTCAATTCGAACTGAAATAAAAAATGCATTCGTTGAAATTATTTCCAAATACTGTTAAACCAAAAATATGTGACGTTTCAACTTAAACCGAAGCAGCCGCGAAGCCAGAAGCCTAAACGCCAGGACATCGGGGCTGTTATGAGGATCCCAAAGAGATTTTGTTAATCCCATCTGTTCCACCATCTCGACACCCTCGTGGCAAAGGAGCGGTTTTAACAGCCAGTTCTGGATGTACGAAGTTCGACACGGTTAGAGTGGGAGGTCGAAGTCAGGAGGGTCTGTCTGGCACACACATCGCCATCATGGAAGAGAGCTCTGGGGGCAAAGCCCGTTGGTGTAGCGGTAGAAGAGAGCTAGATCACCGACAACCCTCCGATGCGAAAGGGTCCCGAGACTGTCTGAGAGATCAGTCGGACATCCCTCCTCTAGGCAGCATCGATCATAAATAATGTAGTATGAAAAGTAATTTATAGCCCTAAATAATAGCCTAGCTTTTCACCAGCAGCTGCCGCTATTGACGAGATGTGTTCGTGCCAGATCAAGTACTCGGTGATCTCGACTCCGACCAGCCGAAATGAACGGCTCTTTCGCAGAACTCGGACATCCATCGGAACCAAATAACTGCTAGGACGCTTGTTGTTCGTTAAGGTACCATACTGACTTTTGGAGGCATTAAAATGTACAAGATTGTTGCGTCCCCAAGCAGTGATAACCTCCAGGTCTGACGTCAGAGAGGAAGTCTTTTTTCCAGCTCACCGGCAGAGATCGGCTTGACGCTGTAAATTCCTGCATGTAGAGTGCTGTCATCAGCAAAGCTGTGGATTGGGTTGACCGTACAGAAAATGAGGTCGTTCATATGTAAGAGGAACATTGTTGAAGCCAAGACCGATCCCTGGGGAACACCCGCGGTTGTGGGATGAAGAGGAGAGCCCGTCCATGGTGGAGGCGACAGCAAAGATATTGGCAAGCACTTTCACCTTAGCCTTTCAGTCCGTTACAATCATTCCATCCTGACACGTAAGTAATATGCGCGGTAATATGTTTGTGTTTTTCTGTTTTATTTTGCATTAAAACGTTGATTTTTTAGATTTTTCCTCACAATTATCGTCGCGATTCAATTTATTTAAGTTAATTGAAGGTTAGAAATTATTGTAGAGATTCGGCAAAATATTTTAATATGTTCAATGCACCATTAACTGTACCACAATGTGAATCATTTCCTTTCACAAAGACAAATATACTTACTGTTGTCAACCGCTCCAGCGCACTGAACCTTTCCTCCTGTGCGGCTGCCGACTTTTCGAAGGCTTCGTGTTTCTTGATCAGATTTTCGACCTCGTCGATCGTTCGTCCCAATTCCTGGCTCATTAGGTAAGGTTCTTGAGCGATCAGCCAAGCTTCTGCAACTGCAGCATCACGAGCGAACTGGTACACTTCAAGGATCAGCTGAAGATTCTCCCATCTGATAAAAAGTAGAACTGGTCAGTATATGAAAAAGAAATCTTAATCTTCCAGTCGTCGTAAACGCGTATACAGAGCAATCCATATACCACTGACGTCGTAATTTGTACGAGAAAGAAGCGCGAGAAGCGTGCAATACGTACGTTAAAAAGAGATAGAAGCTCCACGTTGCCCAGCAACACGAGTGACGAGACCACGGATGCAGCTGAGGCTTACCGGCGCACTCTTTCTAACATACTTATTGCATGCTTCTCGATATTTAGATTTCTTGTATTTGATTACTGTGTTAACACTTTCCATCATTCAGAATAAAATAACCTATAAGCGCAGTGAGCGTTGCTAATGACAAACCCCACTTTTCTTGCAGTTGTAGAAATAAGGGATATATCTTATACCTTTCTTCCCATCGTTGAAGCACACCATTTCTGTGGTTGGTAAGCATAACGAGTTTCTCCTTAATTTCGGAACTAGCATAGTGATTACGATTCAGCAATTCCTTGCCAAGCGAAATGCATGATGTGAAGTTATCTTCTCTAGCTTCTACTTCAGCTTTCAAGCTTTGATGATTATTCATTAATAATTCTACGCCGCTGACATCTCTTGGTTTTTCACTGGTATTCATTTGCCTGATCCATTCGTCCATCCATTGCATCAACGTTCTCACTGTAACGAAAAATTATCTCTGCTACTTAATGATTTTATAGCAGATTACTACAGGAAGAGCAAGTAAAATTTAGAAGAGCTCTGTGGTCCCTCGCGAATATGATTTTGAAATAACCCAATGTAAATAGTTTTTTTTAACGAAGCCACCGTCAACAGGAATATAAGCAACAAATAATATATATGTTACAGATTCTTTTAATGGTCGACTAAACATTAACTATATCTTGACAAAGTAAATTATTACATCGTTTTTTCTTATTTAGAATAATAATTTTATATCAGTTCATAAATTTTATAACAAAACCCATCTATAGGTCTAATAATTTTATAGTAGAAAATCGTACTCTACTCTCCATCTAGTTAAAGACAATTTTTTTATAATTTCGGTCGACCGTAAATACGAGAGCTGAAGGTGACTTGGTGCTCTCGTGTAGGACTTCAGCGGCCCACAACGCGCGGTGTTGATATAATTAGTGAAACTCAGTGCCGGGGATTTATCGGGTTGTGGGCCGCTGAACTCCTACACGAGAGCACCGCAATTAGCACTGATAAACACAGGATTTGTGACAAGGCAATTTTTGGGTGTATCTTATGTATTTTGAGACCCTTAAATCAAATCTAAAAACTGAATTTTTCTATCACCCACAGATATTCGGTAACATCTACTTTTATGAATTACAATACGTAATACCTCATATTGCAATAGCAGCCGAGTCAGTTACGTTTTCTGTGTTGAGTACTGAGATGTTCTGAGTACTGTTAATTTCTGTTAAAACGGTGTGTTTTTTTTTAGTTTATTGTGATCGAGACTAGCTTTATGGACAATGCCTAGCAATTGCGCAAGTAGGGCGAGCAGTTTTTGTTATGTGTGCGGAGAGCTAACTTTTAAATCCCAAAAACGTACTTTTACTCCCCTTGTGTTGAAAGCATACGAACTTTATTTTGGAATTAAAGTTGGCGACCAAGATAAACTATGGGCCCCTCATATATGTTGTAAGACTTGTGTAACGCGGTTAACAGGTTGGTTAAGAGACGACAATCATAAAATGCACTTTGCGGTACCAATTGGTTTGGAGAGAACCGAGAGACCATACTATTGATTGCTATTTTTGCCTCATAAATATTAAAGGTATTGGACCAAAATCGAAACATACTGTCAAGTATTTTAATTTACTATCAGCTTTGCGGCCCGTTAAGCATAGTGATAAACTTTCTGTCCCAGTTCCACGAGAATCTTGGTATTTGGATGAAAAAGTCGAATCCACCGATTCTATGAGACACTAATCAAAGTATATAATTCTATAGTAAATAGAGAAACAGCTGTGACAAATTCTCATAGATGGCGCTACGATATCTCATTTAATCTAGGAAAATTTTTTGGATGCACGAATATAGCATTAGTGTACGACTGCACAGAAAACGGTTTCTGCTATTCAAGCGAGATCGCGATTCGAGCGGTAAAGGCGATTTTCGCATTTTGGGCGATAGTGGCCGCATAAAAAGCGCTTTTAGTTCCAAAGTGGAAGTGAACAGAGCAAATAAATACATACAAAATGGCGCATCTAACACAACATGCTAAAAAATTGCTGTCATTAGAAAATAAAATTTCCTTTAAATTATTAATAATAAGAAAAATAGTGTACATGATATAAACCAAGGAAGATCGAAAACATCCGAATCCATTTTATGAATATTGCAGAATGTCTGAAAACACCTTTGATATTATTTTAGCAGCAGTAAGTGACCAGATAAAGAAAACGTATCAATCTATCGATAGTTCTGCGGCTACCTTCTTCGAAACAGCTTTTATTTTGTTCCGGTCCTTATGAAATTCATTTTTGGATTCCAAATAGGTTCCCTTTTGTATACAGATGCAATTAAGTCTTCTATTACCATGTTGAGAAAACCGTTGCGTCGAAAACGTGCTGACCGAACGGCGATAAAAAATAAACTGATTTGCGATTTATGCTGGTCTTGCGCGTCTAGCGCGACACGCTGAAATAGCGCGGCGTCCTGAATCGCGATCTCGCCAGAATCGCAGGAAACGCTTTCTGTGCGGCCGTACACTTAGATTGGCTATCCTCAGGTAGAATACGTTAATAAATCCTTCACCACCAAGATGTCACTTGCTGATCCGCTATTCACCTCAATAGACATCAAAACAATGAAGTATCGTGAAAAATACTGTACAGAGAATTTAAATGAGTTCTCTTTCAATGTACGAATTTCAAACATGATTTTCTCAAACACAAAGGTAAAATAAGAAGAAGAAGAAGAATAATGTGCGCCATCCTTGAAAAATGTATATAAAGAATCTATTCCAGGTATCAAAAACACAATTTTGTCTGGAAGGCACATATTCCATTCTGGGATTGATCAAATATTCGATCAAATAGAAATGTCAATAAATAATTATTTTTGTACGAAAATTCCATGGAAGACTCGGAAGCATTTGTTCTCATACAACTTTACAAAATACTCACAATGGAATGTTGGAACGCAGCTGCTCTTCGGAAATTTTGTATACGATACAACATTCGCCGAATAAGAGATGCCCCAACCTATTGAAAAAATGGATTAAGAGGTTCCGTGAAACAGACTCAACTGTTAGTTAACCCATTCCTGGTCCCAGACCTACTGTATCAACCAAACAAAATGTACGTCGAGTAAGTGATTCGGTCATTTCAAATCCTCGGCGTTCTGTACGGAAGCATTCCGCTGCTTTGGAAATGCCTAGGTGAACACTGCATGGCATAATGAAGAAAAAAATGGGTTTTCATCCTTATAAAATCCAATCAGTCCGTCCTTTAAAGGAAAGTGATTACGTATTACGGAAATCTTGTGCTGCACGGATGTTGAATCTTTTTCCTACGCAGCGCAAACTCGAGAACGTCGTTTTCACTTAGACGGTTATGTGAACAAGCGAAATTGCAGATATTGGGCACCAACGAACCCAAAAGAGAAACATCAACAACAGCTACATAGTCCAAAGGAGACTGGTGCGCCTTATCTTCTAGCGGTATTGTTGGGCAGTATTTCTTTGAACAGTCAATTCCGAGCCGGTGCTCTATCGGTATACAAAGACATGATTGACACTTTTTTTGCTCCTATTGTAAGAACAGAACGTAGACTTAACAGAAACACATGGTTTCAACAGGATGGGGCCACTGCCCATACTTCCAGAGAATCGATGGACCTCAAAAAGTTATATCGAAGTCTGGCGACTGGCCTCCTTGGTCACCCCACCTCACCCCATGCGATTATTTTTTGTGGGGTTATCTAAAATCAAAAGTGTATTCCAATAATCCACGAACACTGGAGGAGCTTAAGGACAACATTCTACGAGATATAAACAACATCACTCCGGAACTCTGCAAGAGAGTGTTTCAGAATTTGCGCGCGCGATTATAAGAGTGTGTCCGAAGGGATGGCAAACATTTGGACGGAATGATATTTAAGAAATAAAACTCACCAAATTTACGAATATGATGATAGTAATAAATATTTTCTTTTTATTAAGTTTTTATATTTTTTTTCTTAAATCAAAAAGTGAACTTTCCCACTGGACACCCTGTACTTAAAAATGCATGCAACATTCCAGCCATCAAGTTCTTGCATAAATTAATATTTTTATTTCTCGTACTAAAATATAAGTACTCACCAAGATTGAAGAATTTAAATAGATCTCCAGTATCGGCCAGTTTGGCTTGACGTTGTTCACACACGAGCTGCAATGCATTCCACGCGGCAACAACCTCTTGCTCCCTATTGGTGATTTCTTTCGCGCGGTCTCCGGCATAGCTGGCCTGCAGTTTGGCCGATTCGTCCTGAATTTGCTGCACGTGAGAATGCAGCGTCTGCAAATCTTGCACAAAGTTTTGATGTTTACGCTGTAATGCATTTACACTGCCTGCATCGCGACCAAGTTCGTCTGACATCGACACCTGCAAAAGAATAGTTATTTCAGGGTGGCTAATAAACACTGGACATGCTGACAGATATTGCAGTTTATAATTTCCATAACATTTTCCAACTGTTCGGGTCGCATGAGACAAATAAACCAGAGCGGCGCTTATTAAACCTGCCTGTTCAAATATGACAATGTCTACACCTAATTTTGTGTGTTTGTTTGAGATTTATTTAGCCTGGTTGCTACAATTACATTCTTCTAAACAACTAAACAATTACAAAACATAGATATTTAGAAAAAACAAAATTTGCATCTCTAAGAATTTTCACTGCCCATTTAATTTTCTTTTCAACATGTTTAAATTACAAGTAGACTTTATATCATTATTTAGTTTATTAAATTCAAGTATTCCTTTCTGAAATATTGATTTGCTAGTTATAGTATTATACTAAGTGACATATAAATCCGAACACCCAGTTTAAATGGTTTTATTTTAATAAAAGTTGGTGAATGTATTTATCTTACTGTAAATAACAAGTGAAAAATTTTTCAGCCTTATCAGTTGGACATTCCGGTTTTTATACTGCTTTTTTTTAATTCACTAACGCTCTAAAAATGAATATTTCAACCGCAGTAAAGAATCAACGTTGGCGGATTTTGGTTCTTGACATCCTTTACGATCGGTTACGATGCCTAAAGTACGGAGACCTGTACGATTTCGTCAACTTAGTGCGTTTGATAGGGGCCGTATAGTGGGACGGAAAGCTGGACTTTCTTTTCAGGCAATTGCAGTTAGAGTGCAAAGAAGTGTAGACACTGTGGTTAGGTGTTGTCAGGCATGGCTTCGAGAAGGCCGTATGCAAAGAGCAAGGGGCACTGGAGGCCGCCGTAGAACAACAGACCGTGAAGATCGCCGCCTAAGATTATTGGCCTTAAGGGACCGTTTCTCCACTACCAGGTCCATTGCAAATGAATGGTTTGCAGAACACGGAAGACCTATTGGCATGCGAAGTGTTTACCGACGAATGAGAAGTTTTGGCTTGTTTTCATACCGGCCACACTGGGTCCTCCCTTTAACTCGAGAACACCGACGTAATCGCCTTGAGTGGTGCAGACAACGGTCACTCTGGGATCAGGAATGGAACAGTATTGTCTTTAGTGACGAGTCTCGATTTTGTTTAGGCATGCACGATGGTCGTGCCAGGGTTAGAAGGCGACGTGGTGAAAGGAGGAATCCACAGTTTTTTGTTGAAAGACATGTTCATCACACTGTTGGAGTTATGGTTTGCGGTGCTATAGCTTATGGTTCCAGGTCACCTTTAATCTTCATCAGAGGTAACATGAGAGCGCAGCGTTATATCCACGAAGTTCTAGAACCCCATCTTTTACCCTATCTTGACACCCTGGCAGATACAACTTTCCAACAAGATAATGCCCGACCACATGTTGCAAGAGTCACAATAGACTTCTTTCAACATAATGATGTCACACTGTTACCATGGCCACCAAGATCTCCCGACTTATCCCCAATTGAGCACGTGTGGGATATGATGTTTAGGAGATTGCTCAATTTGCAACGACCTCCTCAGACTCTAGAAGCACTTCGAGAGGAGTTGGTGGTTGCCTGGAATGAGATACCACAGGAGGACATTGACCACCTGATCAGAAGCATGCCTAGGCGCGTTGGAGAATGCGTAGCACATCAGGGTGCATCCACACATTATTAAAGGTCAAAGGGCTTTAAAGCAGTGCAATCATTTTGAAATTTTTATCATTTACTTATTATGCTTCATTAAGTACTTATACAAAATTTTATTAAAATAAAACCATTTAAACTGGGTGTTCGGATTTATATGTCACTTAGTATATAAATATTGTGGTAATGATTATTCAATTCTATGTAGTGTTCTAAATGTTGTGGCGTAATATGATTTTATATTTTAAATATAAAAATAAGAACCAAATGTGATATGAAATTTTTTATATTCAACCACCGCAATTCTTGTAACATAGATTTTATTTATTTTTCAGCCAAATTGTTCTCATAGCTTAATTTTGCAGGACTTGTAAATTTGAGAACACAGCTTCATTGGCACTGAACAAGATAGTTGAACAATATAGTAAATGCGGTAGAATAATTGTATTATAAACTATTTTCTTGGAATATGTACCAGACTATGAGAAGAACTATAAAAGTAATTTGTTTTTTGGCAATTTTTGAAATAATGTATTCATATATCTGAATATTTAATTGATTCAACATTTCCAATTATTTCACCATTTATCCTGGGATAGTATTTTCATTTAGGTATTTCCCTATTAGCATACATTTTGTTTTAGAAGTATTCAATTTTAGTTTTTAACATTTAAACAGTTCATGATTTTCGCCAAGACAGAATTTAGCATTTTCAAAGCAGTGTGAAGTGTCGATATTTTCATCTGATATGTATATTAATGTATCATCTGCAAATATCTAAATTTTACAATAATCTAAAATATTACAAATGTCATTAATGTATAAAATAAATAGTAGTGGACCTAGTTTACTACCTTGTGGTATTATCAACAGAAATATTTTTTGATCTTGATAATGTAGATCCAATTTTGGTTTTTGAATACAGATCCTTTAAATTCATAGTGATACAATTTTTTAAGTAATTTATCCCTGTCAATAGTCTCAAACGCCCTTTTGAAGCCCAAAAACACTATTACTGTATGTTTCCTATTGTCCATACATCTCCTCCAGTCTTCTAAAACCATTTGTGCTGCCGTTTCAGTTGAGTGTTTCTTCCTGAATTCAACTTGAAATTTGGTTAAAATGTTATTTTCCTCAATAAATTCGATGATCTGATCTTAAATATTTCATCAAATGCTTTTTGTATTACCAGATGGTACTTGTAATACCAACATCTGGCAGAACAATTATTGGCCGCATATTGGTGTACAACTCAGAATTCTCAACTTTAGAAACAGGAGTTATGGTAGAACACAGTTTTGTTGGAAATTCGCCATATTTTAAACAGTAATTTATCATGGTTAATATTCTTGCACCAATAATATCAAAATATTCATAAGCACACTTTTCGACAAAATCTCACTCTTATTTTGATTTGCTTTAATTTTTGATATAATCTTCTTGAGACGACTAATGTTTATTGTTCTAAACTCACTGAATGATGCATTATAATCTGAGCTAATGGGACACTTTCTATGAAATAGGTATTCATTCGATCTGCTACTATTTCTCCATTTGTTATTACCCATTGTTCTAAGTCTTCATAGATACATCTAAATCACTCGGGGTGTTAAGTGCAGATCGGAAGAAAGTCCAGGATGAAGAACTGAGTGGACGACTGTGAAGTCTGGGAGGCGATTATCGAGATGATCCAACGCGAAGTGGAACAGGAGGATCACCGTCCGTGAATTACCAGAAATCTGAAAGTTCACGGTCGGTGATTCTCCGGTTTCTGCAAGCACAGTCGCCCGGTCCGTTCTTCATTGTGGACTTTCTTCAGACTGGCACTAAACACCCTGCACTAATTTCGGGCGTGTTGAAATTACATACACTAGTCGCCATACGCATCTGTCAACTGACGATGAATATAGATACTAGAGTATCATTCGCACACAAAAAGCGACTTATTAACTTAAAGTGGGGGAACAGGCGGGCGTAGTCGTGGTGCCGGATCTTGCCCAGAACCTTCCAAAGTGGCTGGAGTTTCTTGGGAACATTATTTTCGGATCAACCCTCATGAAACAATTAGTTTCATTGGGACTTTAAAATCAAAAGCACCATTTAGAGATTCTTTAAAATCCACGTACAAATGTTATAATGATTGTACCTATAAACAGTAGTATGAAATAGTGCCTTCGATTCCACTTAAGGCCTCCTTGAAAACCGCAAACCTAGAATTATCATCGTTCACAAAGATACAATGGATCCATAGTAACTTAAAGGACCTGTTGATCACCTACCTGTTTCTCGACGATTCTGCTAAGCACATCCTTGCAATCATGGAAGAACTTATGCAGCTCCCTGGATGCGGCCAGCATCTGCATACGCGTCTCGATCAGTTCCAGCAAGTCTTGCCAAGCCTCGTTCAAGCCGTCCTTCCATTCGGCCACGGTAGCAGAGTCTGAATGTCCAGCGGCGATGAGCTGGTCAGCGACATCGTTCACCGCTGCTACACGTTCGCCGCCGATCGTTTCTGTATCGCGGGCGAATTCCTTGAACCGTTCCCATAGGAGGGTCACGTGGTCGTAGTCTTGGCCTATAGGATAAAAAATACAAAATTACAAATGTTTGCTAATGAATCTTACGTTTTCCCGCAGACATAGATCGTCCGTCATGAGTCTACCAACCGCCACTCTAACGTGAATCGTTCTTATACTATATGACCTATTTGAAGGAAGTCAAATATGTAGAACCTTAAGAGCATTGGAGGGACCTCGGTTGGCCGCGTGGGTCAGAGTGTCGTGCTATTGATCAGCCGGCCGGCCGGGTCGCGAGTTCGAATCTCGCCTTCGCCATGGATGTTGTGACGTGGTGTGCTTGTCCATAATTAGATATATTCTATATACCAACCTAGTTTCTGGCTGCATGGCTTAGTCTTAAAGCCAACAAAAAAAAAAAGCATTGGAGAGTTTTGGCAATCACAGATACCTCATACGTAATAATAATAAATATTACTATTATTATTATATTTATGGTTCATGTATGATTAACTCACCAAGTTCTTGTGAAGAGGCGACAACTTCCCTATCAGCGATCCATTGTTCTAAGTCTCCAACATCCCTGTTCAACAAGAATAGTTGTAAAGCTTCATCTAGTTTTGCTCTCCTCTCCTGTGCCAAATCTTTCAGTCCAGCATACAACTTGTCCAGTTGTGATTGCTTAATTGCTACCTGAAATTTGAAGAAAATGATGTTATAACAAAAATAGGGCAGATAATTTAAATAAATTCAGAAAATGGGTAGGAATTGGTCTTGATTCAGTTTCATTTGTAAGCTTCGAGAAGATATATTGTAATGCCCTCGTATAAATGGAACTCTGGGTACCAGCGAAACACCCTGGTACATCAACTAGAAGATCGCTTAGGCAACGAGAATTACGGGACCATGATGGAGCGTGGTCGCGTTCTGGACCGTTCACGACGCCACAGCGAATATCTTCTATAAACTAATTCAAAATGGTTTTCCTTTTTGGCTTCTAAAATTACTGAAATCCTTGCTTGAAGGAAGGAAGTTTCGGATCAAAATTAACAATGTTTTGTCAACAACACGGCCAGTTCGAACCGGTGTTCCTCAGGGCTCGGTTCTAGGACCAATCCTTTATTCGCTTTTCATCAATGATATCCCTTGCCACAGCAACTGTGAAGTCTACCTCTATGCTGACAACAATGCACTTGTCGCCCAGTCGTGTACTGTTCACGATGGGTTGCAGAGTGCGGTGGACAAAGTACTGGAGTTTGCGGAACGGTGGCTGATTAAAATTAATCATCCGAAAACGCAGGCTATTTATTGTACCATAAAACGTCGCGGCCCCCCAGCAGAGGTTTCTGTAGTCGGCAATCGTGTACCATGGACAAATTCTGGCAAGTACCTCGGTGTCACCCTTGATAAAGGCATGACCTGGCAGAAACATACAGCAGCCTTGAAAACAAAATTCCAAATTGCGTTTCGGCAAATATATCCTTTGTTATGTAGACCTCCAAATTGAGTTTGATAAACAAAGTTCGCCGATATAAAATGATTATTAGACCAGTCATTACTTATGCATGTGCGGCTTGGTGTTTTCTTGCCAAGACACATATGCAAACTCTTTGCGAACTATTTGCAATGCTCCGTGGTATGTCTCAAACCAGATACTACACAGAGACCTTGATATTCCTTACTTGAGGGATTATGTCAAGCTTCAGGCGCAGCGACGTTATAGTCAAGCGGAATCGCACAGCAAACCTCTGTTGTGTGACTCAGTGGACTACACAGAGGTGCAAGTTCGTAAGCATTCAAGGCCACGGCTCGCACTGTACTAAAAAATTAGCGCGAACTTTTAGAAAAATTAAAAATACACTCTAAGAAAACCGAATCAAATTTTGTTTAGTTCACCTCAAAATTGAGTCAAAAAGCCTAACCAAACACTTCTGTTTTCCTTTGCTCTTCTCCTTTTTTTTTCTCTTTTCCCTTGTCATTGTCTGGTTTCTGGACAAGCTGGACTGATAGATTCGACTAACGTACATTAGACAGTGACTAATTGGCAAAGGTCCTACGGACCGCCCAGACAAACAAATGACGAATAGTACCACAGCGAATATTCAACACGTCTAGAGACGCATCTGCTGCCATCTAGATCACTTCCATGGAAGTTCGTGACTCGGCCGGAAGATGCTGGAACGTTTCTCGACTTGTCGACATGGGAATAAATACAACAGGAGATGGCGGAAGAGTCAGACAGAGTCGAGTCTACAGTCACAGTCGAGACAATCATCGGCGCGGAATTAAGTTGGAATAATAGTCCAGACGACATACCTTATAAATGTGTTATAAATCAGTGTTAAAGTAATGAATTAGTCTCAAAATTGTCTCTTCAAGAGTACTCGATCAGGCTTGGGTCATTACCTACCAATTCCAAATATTTCTCCTTCAATATTTTCTCATAAAGATCTAGATTTTTTTCTAATGAAAAACCACAAGATATATAATTGTAGCTACATTATATACCTGTTCAGCCAATGGATGTCCCTCAGCTGCTAGTGCTCTTACAGTTTCTCCTAACTGACGAATCGTATCTGCGTAGGCTTCAACAGCAGCTTCAAGGCTTTCATGCTTTTTCATCAAGTTTCTGGCCGAAGTTTCATCTTTGCCTAAAATATGTGTTAAGTCAGTCACTCTAGTGTGACTTGAAGTAAAATCCGAAACGTTCTTAGTAGCAGTGTCGCCGAATGGAAAAAGACGAAATCGGTAGATAGTGTTATTGAAATTCGGTAGATTCAAGGACAAAATTGGTAGGAGAAACAAATCAGCAGTAGTTCAAGGATATTTTTATACTGCGCGCGCACACACAACACAGGTTTTTTGAGAGCATCTTTTTCTAGCAAAATATTCTATTCTAATATTCTTTATTACAAATTTTACAGTGAGTATAGGTACTAGTCGCTCTTCAAACTCCTTTTTCTATTCTAATTTATAAGATTGAGAATATTTGTCTGTTTTACTCCTGAACTTTAATCCTTATCACCTGACATTTAATACTTAATTTAAAACAGACAAGTTTTGGTTTCTAACCCAAATCTACGTCGCTCGTGTGTCCAACTGACTAAGTTTACACATACGAGAATGAATATGATTGGTGTGGGGCATAAAACTACATCAGCGACTACATATAATTCATTTTTTCAGTTTTCCGTTTGGCTCTAGCTCTTTTAGAAATATGTAAATATCTGAATTATTTAAAAAAAAACCGTGGGAAATAATGATATCATCGATAATTTTGACCTACCTCTATCCTCAACCATCATGTAAAGCTCTTGTTCGCTCATCCAACTCTCGGCTTCATTGGCATCGAAAAGATACTGCTGGGCACGCTCATTGCGTAACAGGTGCTCGCGGCGCTTTTCTATGGCATCCTTCAGTTCTTGCCAAGCTTTGTGGAGTTCGCTGATCAGGCGACTAAACTCAGCTGCATCTTGATGTCCTGGATTGAAATGATAATCATAATTCCAACTTATGGTTTGCCACACTTCAAGGGTACTTCTAAAGTACCGGTACTTCTTACTATGATTTCGAGTATTTCTGACTTTTATCAAGGTACTAGAGATCGAGCGATACAGTTATGTATATCGGCCTAATTTGTGGATGTACGAATCGGCCGAGGTGGATGTCAGTGCTGTACAAGTTCATTTCTTCCACAAGAAACGACGCTTGGATAGTGCTAGCTTTTCAGACCAAACAATCTTCTTGAGAACTCATGTTGATAGTAAGTTATGCTGCTGGCAGCCACAAATAAATAACAATTGCAATAAAATTAGCAGTGCTTATTTTGCAATCTTAAAATTACACCCCATCATCCATCAAGTTCCACAGCGGTATGTAAGCGCAACTTTTTTCTCCTTTCGCTACCGTCATAAATGCCGATGGAAGGGTTTTCTACACGTAGAAGTTTAAACAAAACTGCTTTATTTGATAGCTTACATAGATGTGTTGAGGCCAACATATGGAACAACGTGTTGTGTTCAGAAAAAGATGAATGGCCGATAAGACCGATATACCGGCCTTTAAAGTATTGGTATCGGCCTTTAAAATATTGCTATCGGCAGTAATTGTGTATCGGTCGATCTCTGATGTCTCTAATATAGAGATTATTTATAAAATTTTGCGCCCCCAATGACGAGCCCTATAACACAGCGCGAGAAAATAAAAATTATCATTTCCTAGACTACTGCATGCAATAAATTGCACTAGCATTAGTTAACAACTGTAACGTGTTTGTTTACTTGCTTCAAATTAATAACTTTTTTGTAAATAAAGAAAATGTAGGCACACCATGCAAAAAGATACCTTCATCGATAAGTTTCTGTCCATTATTGCATACTGTGTTTATCCTTGGTTCGTGGTTGTCAACCTCCGTCTGCAAAGACTGGTTCTTCTTTTCCAGCATATGAACTTGGAACAGACTGTTTCCATATTCGGTGGAAGTAGCTAGGGGCATTTTCTCTGAGATCCACGATAGTTCGTCCTCTATATCTCGCCTGAATTGTAAAGCTTCCTTCTTCTTTTCGAGCAGCTTTTGCCTTTCTAGCAAAGGTTCCTTTAGTTTTTGGAATCGTTCTTCTACCTTGCTCTTTTTCGTTTTGATGTGTTGCATGTCCTTTTCGGGAGTTGCGGTTTCTAAATGCTGCGTTTGTTTTTCTAATTCGTCCACCTGTAATGAGAGTTAACCTTATTAAATATGAAGTCAGAATTCATACGGTGCTTTTTAAAGAGACTCCATTGCATCTATTTTTTGAGAGGATCAAGTCAACAAGATGAAATTTGGAGTCATAAAATTGACGCACATATGCATTTATCTTAGTTAATAATCTTTATTCAAGTCACCATCTTTTGATTATACAGGGACTTCGAAGTTGAGTCATTTATTTTAACAGTGAGTAGATCTGATCAAAAGAAATGTTTTTTTCCTTTACCATTTTTCTGGTAAAATTAAAGTAACAAAGTTATAGCCCTTTGGAAGTTTGAGTACCGCCCTGCCTATTATATGCTCGTGTTTGGCGACAACGGATATAATCCGCCTGACCGGTTCATCGCATCGGAAACAAAAAAGCGAAAGAATTTGAAACGTTTATCACGATGTTTTTCGTCAGTCGATAACGCGTAAGTGAATAGTAGTGTGTTGCGTGGTTCAAACGAAATAAAAAATGGCACATGTTTACGAAAATGCTGAACTTGTGGACATGATTCTTATTTACGGTGGGACAGTCTTTACAAAATGCTCCCGGATGCATCACGGATTTACGCGAATCGGTTTCCCAATCGAGTGCAACCAACCCCTCGTGCCTTTGTTAATGTAGTACAAAGGGCTCGTGAATCAGGTGACTTAAGACCTCACAGGTGAGGGCATGCTGCTCCAAGACCGCACGATCAAATACAGGTCCGCACTGAAATACTTGTCGGGAGGATACTTTATTAAACAAGGTAACATTTTTTTTTTTATTTTTACACACATATTTTGGTTTATCTTCCTTCTACAATCATTATCTGAAAATTAATGACTCAACTTCAAAGTCACCCTGTATACAAGACGTCAAATACAGAAACTAACACAATAAACTTTATACTAGCAGCAAATTAAATTCTTTCTTTCCCTTAGCAACAAATAACTAAGCAGGAATAACAATAAATACAGTTTGCCCAGGATACCTGTATTTGATGAAAAGAATGCGGATAAAATTCGGGTTGTTATTTGGTTGTTGCCACGTCTAATCTTCCGAATTGCTCTTTATGTTGGTAGTTTCCGTTTTAAATTATAAACGAATTGTAGATTTGGCAAACCCTAACTGGCAAGACTTTGAACACTTATTGAAATAAAAAGTGATATTTTCGAGTGTTTTTGTTTTCTATCTGAACAAATTAAGATAAAGATTTTTCTAATTTTCTTGAAAACGAATCGACCTGTTTTAAAAAACCAAACGTCAAAATAAAGGAGTTCGACTTACCTTTCAAACAAGCTATTACTCGATAGTTATTTAAAATTTTTAAGGGGATGAACCTGGAGGGTAGAGGGTGAAGTAGTTTTTGGTTAAAAAGTTCTCCCCCTGGACACATCTTTTGACGTGTCTCGGTGTTTTTTCGTTTAATCAGTGGTTCTCGATAAATCCGTAGTGGGAAGTTTTCAAATTAAAGAAACTAACAATCAATAAAAATAAACACTTCGACAAACTGAACAGGAATAAGAAATATGTAGATATAGCAAGATGACGGCTGAACTCCAACTTGAATCATTTTTTAATGGAATGAGGGTTATTTAAAGCCCGTTATCGATACTTTAGAACCCTGGAGTATAGATTTACTAACTTTTAAATTGTCGAACTGGTGGGCTGTCAAAGTTGAGCGTTTTTGTACATTGAATCGCTTATAGATTGATCAAAACGCTACAGTATGCTATATTTATCCTCCTCTCCTGGTAGGATCTATACACATATGTAATCAAATAAAAGTTCCATTTGAAAGAAAACCGCAAGATGTTATTTTTTTACACGAGATGTCAGATTTTGTTCTCTATTCTCTATCCGTCATTGTCCGTCAGACTGGTCCTTTGCTCTTGGTTAAAGTCTTGTAGGTCAGTAGGTCTGGTTGCCTAGATACCAGGCAAAGTCGGGGAGAAATAAGGGAAGAAGAAAGAAGGAAGGAAGGGAGGCACACTAGCAAATAGAAGTAAGTGCGTCTGTTGGAGGGGTGCCTTGACATTGTTAACTAGTATTCAGTAATTTTAAATTGTGTAGAAAAAATGTAATTTTGAATGCACAATTTGATTTTGTTCACAGTCCGAGCCGCGGTCTTGTGTGCTTGCGAACTTGCTCGACTGTGTAGTCTTACATTTTGTTGCACATTCAGACCCTTCCAAAAGTAGGGGATCTTTTTGCAAAATGTATGCGTTTGTCATATACCAACTAGCGGGTTCCTTTGAATCACTATCCTAGTGAATTCCAAAATCAACAAAATGTGTTTACCTGATGGCCCTCTAAAATCCTTCTATATCAAAATTATGCTCTACACGTGCTACCACACAACAAAAATATCCTGTTACATACCTGTCGCGCTTTAACGGCCATCTGAGTCTCAATCATCTGCTGTTTCTGCATGAGGATGTTAACGGAGGCCAAGTCGCTACCAGTATCGTCGCTTTCGATTTGTTTCTCGAGTTCGTTCATCCATGAGTCGATATCGTCGCAGGTTTGATGGATGAGGACTTCTCTGTTGGCATCGAACAAACGCTCGCCCTTTTCTTTAGTCGTTTGCTCCAAAACGTCGAATTGGTCGGCTAGCTCCTCGATCTTAGGCTACATAAAAGAAAACAGCATATTAATGAACAGTAGCAACACTCATTGCAGTTTTGGAAAAACTGAGTATTCATATGTATTCATGATTCAGTAAAAAAAAATAGTGAAAAGTCAATACAAAGTTCTTAATTTGGGAGCTCAATAATCCCAGTATTTTCCAAAAATGAAGGCTTTACTAGCTTCCGATAAAACCAACGGAGTCGATATTTTACAGGTTACATGCAGAGGAATTATGAATAATTTGAATTAGCGGTTTAATTTAAAACCATACATTATCCAAAAATCGTATCTTTACTAGCTTCCGTTAAAGTCAGCAGAGTCGATATTTTACAGCAGAAATGCAGAGTTATGAATAACTTGAATTAGCGGTTTTTAAAATCATATATTATCTTGCTTCCGCTGACGCCGACAAAGCCTCAGTTTCTTTTAAAACCAATTCCTGAACTTACATATGCGATAATTATGAGGGTCTAACTATATAATGTAACAGGAAAGTAAATCACTTATCAGTATCGATAGCGTTGACTAAATTCCTAAAACACAGCTAAGTATTCTTGCGCGATCTTACATAAGAAATCGCCTAGAAAGAGCGAAACGCAAATTAAATTACGCTGGGATTGCATGGTGCATTCCGCGCGCATCAACTTGCCTGCGTTTCAGCTCTTAAACAGACACATCAAAACCTAGGAAAATATGTGTTTACTAATTAATACAATATTCTAAATGTAAGGGCTAACAGACGCATTAAACCATTAAGACATTGAATGATAATTTTAGGTAAAGATTTTCAGTTTGCTTTATTTGTTCTGCCAAGCTTTAAACAAACTAAAAGCAGACAAATTATTAGAAAACGGTTTTGTCTTCGTGGGTGCTTTAATAAATCGATCAGATAATAATATCTATTACATTTATCCAGTCCGTTAATATCCTTTCATAACATATATTATGAAATAAGTAACTTAAAAACTCAACAAATGACTAGGAAACCACAAACTAGCAAATCTACGCGTCTTCACAGCACGTCTCAACACAAAATACAAATCCAACAATAACATATCAAATCTTACGAATGAAGATGGAACATTGATTTACATGGTGCGGCAGCATATCTAATTATATCCATTGTATGAATTAGAAAAAAAAAATCCAGATGAAATTGCACACCCCACTGTGACTTTAGGTGAATGGAAAGGCATTTGATGCAATTCTCGACGATTAGTGTCAGCCCAGTAATGCAAGTTTTCTTTGTTAGCTAATCCACACAAATGAAAATGAGCTTCATCACTAAAAAAACAATAGCGTCCCCAGACACGACGCTCACACACGTTCAGGAAGATTCTGCACAAGTGGCATCGTGTAATTAGAGAAATGAATATCATCATGAAGAAGTCTAACAGAACGATCGGGGCAGTCTCATGTTTGTACGCAGAACAAAACTTTATAGTGCCGCGTCTCAAACGAGACCACTAGTACTGCGCTACGACATTAACCGACTTAATGGCGCGCATTTTAAAAATGGAATTTATGCTGCCGAACCCTGCATTATAAGAGTTATTTTAAAAACAATGACTTAAATGGCTGCCGTGTGTCTTTTGAGCAGCCAAGCTTAATACACTGGTAGTTTTTACCTCACCATGTGGCTAAATTGGTTAAACAGACAAAAGCGTGGGTGATTCAAAACAAAATTTCGACAAAACTACTTCATGAAGATTTTCTCACGTGAGATCACTTCATCGAACATTTCCACGAACGGCATTAGAACGCATTCAAGCTATAAGGAACGAAAAATTAAAAAACCTCATATATTAAATTTCACATAATCCTTTCCACATTAATGCCATCACTTGTGTTCCATAAAGCCACCTACCTGGATGTAACTAGCGTATTCTGGCTTCTCCTTTGCCAATTCCTCTCCTGCTTTCTGCAAATTATGCAGCCGTTCTTTGTTGGCAGCTATCTCTGCTTCAAATGCTTGATGCCTAGTCCACTTAGAATGTACCGTTTTAGCCGACCTAGAACAGAGGAAAATCATGACTAGTACGTGAATATGATAATATAGAAAGTCAATGTTAGCAGTTAGGGGACTTGCGATCTTTAACGTAATAAAAACCTTTATTCATGTAGTTTTTAGGACAAAGACTAATAGGAATTGTGGTAAATTATACCTGTATGTTTCATCTTGAGCAGTTATGTGCTTCTCCTGTATCCATTCACCTAATTCATCACAATCTCTAAGGAATTGGTGAAGTTCAAGCTGATCCCTCAACCTTTCCAGCAGTGCTTGTGCCTTTTCTCGGTTTGCCAAGCGCCTTTCATCGATGTTATCTGCTCTTTTGTGGATCTTATCGGCAGCAAAGTGATTTTCATCGCAAAGTCTGCGAGAGAATTCGACCACACCGTTGATTTTATCATCGTTAGCCTCCATTGTTGCTAAGAATGCTTCATGGCGCTGAAAGCATCACATTCAAATGTTATCTCTCTGTTACTAAGCCATCATCAAAAAGAAGTCAAGAAAATTGGTTCTGCATTTCAAAGGCATCGATTTCAAACTATGAAAAGCATTGATAAATATTTGCAAGACTATCAACCGTTCAATAAAGTCATTTATCTTTAGATCAGAAATAAAAACATATCGCCCAGTCATCAGACGTTTTGAAGCCCAAAATTTGAGATTTAACATATATCACTGATATACCATACACCTGAGTGTGTAATAAACTGAATAACAAAATATATTTTCAAAAACAAGCTTTCATTTAGCTGTTCAAGTGAACTAAAAATTTAAAAACATTTTGTTTTTAGATTCGAAATATTTAAACGATAATGAAGCGCCTCCATCTCAAGTTTTCAAATAACAGCATGTTACCACTCTAAATTATTGGCTCACGTTATCAACAGCTAAATAAAAGCTTGTTTTAAAAAATGTACTTTTTATTGTATTAATTTTTTACTTTTCAGTATATATGATGTCAAATAACTAGATAGGTGATTTCTATATACTTTTTATATATTTCTTTAATAGGGCTCCATAGAACTACTTACTTTAATTGTGTTATAAAATTTATATAATATAATAAATCGATATTTTGCGGCGATCGCATATGGAATTTAGAATGACGTTATTTGCTTATTGTGTTTCTCTCATTAATCCCATTTATTTGATACCCATAACTTAGTACTGACCATGGAAATTATAAATCGCCATTTTCCGGTGGAATCCATATTGTTTAAAATGACGTCACTTTGCTTATTATGTCTCCCTCATCAAGCTCTTTCGTTTGATACCCATATCATAAAGGTTAGTAGAAATGGTGAATCCCCGTTCCAAACCATCATACTGAATTCAAAATGTCGGCAGTTAATTCATTTTGTATTGTCACGCGAACCAAATGTGTGTACAAAATTTCAGCTCAATTGGTTGAGGTTAACCGGTTCAAGATTTGTCCTACACGCACGTACTAACACACATACTAACAAGTCAAGTTAAATAAAAGCTTGTAAAAAATAGCAGAAAAAAAAAACGTTTAGCATTACTCACTTTTAGGAGGTTTTCAGCCTGTTCCAGAGTTGATGGACTCTCGTCCTTGCTAAGAGTATGCTCTTGCTGACTAAGTATAACTTCTGCTTGTCTTGCATCTCTGTCCAAAAGTTGAAGACTAAGAGATTGTGACAGTAGTTGCTGTCGATTCTCCCACATTTGATGAATCTCGTCCCATCCATCTTTCAAGGCCTGAAACAAAGAAATAATCACGTTTAACTGACAAATTTAACAGTAAGGACAGATGCCACAACCGACCAGTTACTAACTTTTGCATTCAAAATAAGCATGTCATCTTACCATTTTTGCATATTTGACTTCATTCTATTAAGTTTATACAGTTAATATTCTATTATTTTTATTTCTTCTTGTTTATTTTGGGTAATACTTGTTACAACCAATAATAAGTATGTATTAAGTGCTGGTAAATTTAGTGTTAAATCAATTAAACCTTTCATTTTAGGATAAATGGTCACGTCGATTTTCGAAAGCTTTGAAGCTTCTTCATGCTTTCTTGGTCACAGACGCTAAGGACTTCCGAGGTAAGGGTGACATCTGAAGAAATTTACTAACCTCAAAAAAACTCCTTTAGTTCATCATCTTCTTTCTAACTCCACTTGAGAGGTGAAACAGTGAATATGATAATTTATCGTTTATAAAAGCTAGTTACCTTCAGACGTTCCCTCAGGAACATGTACTGAGGATCATCTTGTGTACTAGGCTCTGCAGTGATCTTCTCTCCATATTCCATCATCTTCGCGTAATCTTCAGTGTAATTATCAATTTCCTCTCGAATAGCTTGATGTTGAGACAGCAACTTCTCGGCTTCAGAAAGCGAGCTGGGCGTATCTTCGGAAGCGATATCTGTTTGTGTCTTGGTCAACCACGCTTGGAAGTGGTCGAGATCGCGCAGGAATCTGTGCAAGTCTCCAGCTTCTTCCAGTTTGGAATCGCGTTCTTTGAGCATCTGGGTGAGTCGCTCCCAAATGATCTGAATCTGAGTGATGCGTTCTCTGATAACAGCAGCTTCTTCGGGGTGTTCACCCTCGATAGAGTCCGCTTCTTTTTGTAGGGCAGTGAGTTTTGCTTGGATAGCAGCCAAGTCTCTTTCCATGCCGGACAACCTCCTTTGTAATGTCATTATACCTGCAACGGAAATTCGAATGTAGTAAAATTGAAATATACAAAACTTCAAACGTTTACTTTCATTCTCTTGTCTCTTTCAATACGTTTTGATCAATAAATGCATCTTCAATCATCTACTCTACAGGATAAGACGAAAAGAAAATCGTAAGCATTGGATATTCGAAGAAAAGCATTTAAAATGTCTCCATTGATAAAAGAATTAATGGAGAAAAAATATTCACGACTTCCCGAACAATGCTTTCAATAGTTCGTGTTAATGTTTTGAAGTAAATGCCGTACTAAGTATTGATACCTAGCAAATCAATCCCCCTACGGTGATACAAACACCTAAGGGACATTACTGGAAATCGAATCGCAAATAGCTTTTAAACGATACTGGTACACTCCGGTATAATTCAACGAAAGTTTGATGGCATAGTAAAAATTTGAGGCTCTTATGATGATGTCCATTTGAATCTCTAGGCCTAATCATTATACTGAAAAAAAAAAAACACTGTTAATTTTCTTTTAAAACAGGAGCCGTTTTTGAGAAAGGCACACTTCTGTCCTTTTAATAGAGCTTTTATATATATATATATATATATATATAATATTTTTCGATTATATTAGGATCGGCTGCAGTATAAATGCATAGGGACTGTATGGAAGAAGGATAAGTTTTTGTAATTAAAGGATCATGATTCCCAAAAATATTCGGAGTTATTATAAATCATTTACGACCCGCCGTTAGCATACTATGTTTTTTTTTCAAAAATATTAGAAAAGGTTGGTTATTTTCATCTAATTTAATACTTAGACATGAACAATTTACTTCCTGTCCATCAGTCTGGGTTTCATGCTGGGCACAGTACAACTTCTTCGCTACTACTCCATTTTAGTTTTAATGATCACTGACTTCTCTAAGGCGTTCAACACACTTAATCACAACATTTTGTGGAGTAAGTTAAATAATATTGGACATTCCTCTCAAGTTTTTTGAAACTTAACTAATCGTAAACAAAAGGTAAAGACAGTTGGAGGCGTCTCATCTTCTGTGGCTGTTTCCTCAGCTGTCCCTCATGGGTCTTTTTTTGGTCCTTTTCTGTCTTAAGCACTTGTATAATAGAGTAAGGGACAGGCTGGCATTGACTATCAAAAATGAGCTCATTCCTATTGTGGAACAAGTAAAAAATCTTGTCATATTCGACTGTAGTTTACGAATTGATGTGAGTAATCTATCGAAAAGCACCTACATCAAAATAAGGCTACTGTATGCTGATAGATTCATTTTGAATTTTAAAACCCGTAAAAAGCCAGTTGAAAGTGTGATAATGTCCAGCCTTAAGTAGGCTTTGATTTTATATTATCCTTGTCTTGACCTCTTGACTCGATGAATCAGTGAAGAATCCAAAGATGCAAAACAGCTGGTGTAGGTTTGTATATAGTCTTTGAAAATATAGTCATGTCTCCTCTGAGATAAAGAGTTAGAATGTCTCAAAATGGATCATTAATTTGAATGTGATCTTAAGTTATTTGCAAAACAATTTATCTCCATAGTAAATTGATATCTAGAGAAATCAATAATCATTTGCACTATACCGCATTGTTTCAAAAATAATTTACTTTCCATGCAGTGAGAGGTTGTACAACTCAACCGTGCCTCTGTGGAGAAGAAAAAGTGTTGTAACATTCAGGAAGCTGGTTAAAAATCAGCTGTTAGATCTGTTGTGATTAGCTGTTATGATCTTTTCTATTTTTTTGTATTGTCATCCAATCATTATTAGTGCTTAACTGGTTCCTTTTTGGTAAAGCAACAGAGGGTGGAACGTCAATTGAATACATTTTTTTTCATTTTCATTAGTTGACTCAGTTGAACATCAAATCGATTTATTTATTTTCAGGTTGGATGTAGGTGTATTTTGTTTGTATTGATGTACATATTTCCTCACATAATGGGGTTGGGTGTAAGAGCAGCCAATTAGCTAAACTTTGCCTTATTGATGTGGTTCTGATATGGGCATTTTATTATTTTTATTATACCGCTATAAAAATTAGAAATATGATAAAATTTCGTTATTCTACAATTTCGTTCAGAGGTTACTGAAGTAAACCGATTTCCAGTAAAATCTTTTGGGCATTATTTTTTTGTTTATTAACTGTTCCATCTAAATGAAAATGAGCTTTGTCGCTCATTAGAAGATGCAGGTCTAAGTTGTTCTCCAAAATAACTTGAATTCTCTTAGCGAAATCCTCACGCTTTTCAAAATCATTTTCTTTTAATTGCTGGAGAACCTATAGATTGTAGGGGTGGAATTTTAAGTCCTTATGCAAAAGTTTTCTAAACGAGTAGGACTTCTGACGACCGCTTCTCTTACTCGCTCTACGTTTTCAGTTCTTACCGTTCTTTTTGGACCTGGTTGCTTTTTTCATTAGATTACCTGTTATTCTTAGATTCTTTACCCCCATTAAGTGCCTTGCGAGAAGGAAGTGTTCCACGCCTACCAATATTAAAGTGAGTGCGAAAAAGCCACCGACTCGTTATTTCGGATAAGGGTGTCGTATGCAAATACGAGACGTTCTATCGCCCACTGCTCCATCGTTACTGAAATGGAATACTACTACAAGGATAGTAACGTCGCACTTGGCCCGCTCCAATCGCCTCAAGCTTCGTAGTATTAGTTCTAAAAACATCCAATTCCCGGTTGTCACCCGTACAATTACAATTTTTCAGACCATGCTACATACCTGTCAAATCCATCTCAAGACTATCAGTCGTCTGAAGAATCCTAATCTTGTCTTCGATCCACGTGGTCGTCTCACGGCACTCAATATGGAATGTTTGCACACCGTGGGCAGAGTTCAATTCTTCCTTCTTCGCTTCCGCCTTCTCACGTAACTCCGCCCATTTCTGGTTAAGTTGATTCTGCCTGGCAGTGATTTGCTCTGAGTTCGGATGCTCGACGTGCAACAATTGGCGCGCAAGTTGATTCACGACGGCAACCCTAGAAGCGTTCGCGTTCATTTCCTTTTCGAAGCCTTCGTAGCGGTGTTTCATGATCTCGACATCTTCGATGTCTCTGGCCGGAATCATCGTCTGCAACATTCGGTCTTTCTCGCTGATCCATTGCTCCACACCGTCGCTTTCCGAGAGGAGTTTGTACAGGCTGAGGGCGTCGAGGAGACGTTGTTTTCTGAGCTTGGCCAGCTCAAGAAGTTCTTTGTAGCGGTTGTCGATAGACGCCAGTCTTTGGGATACCTGAAACAAGTGTGAAAGCACAGCTTAGATAACAATCAGCTATGAAACTATCATGTATCAAAAACGCCCACTATTTCGGCTGAGAAAATCGCATGTAAAAAGGTTTTTGCGTTTATTGTTCAACAGTCCTAGCTGATGTTGCTATGTACTATGCCAGCGGCCTCAGACATTCCTTGCAATTGTAAACATTTTAATATTCCGATACGATCTTAGTTTGTATGAGCGAATAATAAAAAGGAGTATGTTTGTCCTAAAAGAAGCGACGGATTATTGATGACTATTTACAAATATTTACGAAAAAGCTTCAAGACAAATTTGTAATGGTGGAAGGCTATCAGTACTTATAATACAATTTTCGATTGGGTTAAAGGAAACGCTATATATATCTAGTGATTCTTCAGTCTAAATAAAATATTTACCTCAGGAGATTCAGCAACCTCAGGTCCAAGTGCCTTAGCCTGTTGATGTAATGAATCAATAACACTGACATAATTCTTCAGTTCCTCGGTAACATCCTTGTGCTTCTTCAGCAACGATTGGGCATTGCCCTCGTCTCTACCAACATCCTCGCTGGAAACTAGCCTCAAAGTATCCAACATCCAAATGTCAATATCATCAGCATCAGCAAACAGTTGATGGTAGTTGACAGCTTCTTCAAGTCGTTTTCTGCGATAAGCTGCCAAGTCAAGAAGGTGTTTCCATGCATCTCTGATCTCATTGAGGCGTTCTTGAATCTTCTCAGCACCGAAGTGGCCGCCGTTGATTAGTTCTTCGCCAACTCCCAAAGCTGACTCTAACTGCGATTCATGAGCTGCCAGTTCATTTTCTGAAAAAATAAACATAATATTAATAGCAAATTAACGATAAAATCTTGCTCTAAAGCATATTATTCAAATCTGTCTTGAGAAAGTCATTGATTGTCTATGGTTCTAGATTTAGCAATATTTTATATTTTTCAAATGCACCTAGTTTTACAATCGTTTTCACAATTGCTGGTAGATGGTTAAACAGTTTTGGAAAATTGAAAAGACGTCCTTTTTCAAATAACGTTAATCTATGCTTAGGCTTAGGATATAGTTAAAAACTCTAGTAATGGTAACTTGTAGGCTAACTGTGAACATACGCTAATTTTTAAATAGAGGTGAATAAACACCCCAAAAACTGTGAAAATACAGAATTGCTTGAATTTGCTTTCACATTTAACTTTAAACCTAAAATATTTCTCAATGTTCTCTTTTGTATTATAAAAGTTTCATCAGAGTTACTACAGTTTATGAATAACATAATTCCATACCTTAGTCTAGATTCAAAACTTGAGTGATACACAACTTTTAAAGGTTTTCTATATGGCAATAATTTTTATAGAATAACATACCTTATTGAGCTTATTTCTTAAATAACTTATAAGGTTGTCCCACCTGAGGTAACTATCTAATTCAAGACCAAGAAATCTAGTATTGACAGATACTGTAATTGTTGTACCAGACAAATTGAATTTTGAAAATTTGCCTACAGTGAGACGTTCGAAAAAACAGCATAAGTGTTTTATTAAGAATTAGGCTATTATTAGAAAACCAGATGATTTTAGAAATACGCAAAGTTTATTTCCAAATATGTATAACATAGATGAGAAGTAGACGAGAAATTAAAGCAATGGTGCGTAGTAATAAGTAATACACTGTTGGATAATTCTTTTCAAATAAAATAACGATTATTAAGAAGAAAATGTGGCCGATTTTGAGATATATGGTGTAGAAATATTTGTTTTTAACTGTTCGAATTAGAGCATGTGTTTGAAGAAATGGAATACACAGAACACAATATAGCAGGCTGAAACGAATGTTTACTTTCTGCCTCTGCTACCATAGCTAACCTTATACGTTTCGTGCCTTTTAGCAACCATCAGTACAGTATAGGTTTAGCCATTTGGCTACTATAACGTAAACCTCTGATAGGGCAATGAATTCGCAACACTATTTCTTATTCTGCATTAAAAGACTTTTCGAATAATATATGATCTATTGCCGTTGGTTTGGCTACAAGATGTATTCTGTCCATCCTTCTTTAAAGCATTTTTTGTGGTCAAAATTGAATGGTAAAGTAATACTTTTCACTCTCGATGTTCTGTTGTGAACTAGTTATCTGTAATGATAATGACTTTGTTCTTACCTAATATCTTATGTTTACTCAACAACAAATTGACAGTGGTCAGATCGTGACCAATATCAGACGTAGACACGATCTGCTCCTTCTCCTTGATCCAGTTCTCTTCATCAGCCATATCCCAATAGAACTGCCACAGTTTCTTGCTCTCCTCAAGTCGCAACCTTCTTTCAACGGCCAGCCTAACCAGTTGCGCGTATGCCTCTTCAAGTTGTTGGACACGTTCTATGACAAGCGCTGGATCACATGGTGTGTAACCTTCGTCGTTTTCTAGGTTCACGAACCTTTGCGACTGGCTCGCTACTGCCTTGACTCTCTCACCTAAAACAGAAAAATTGGATATTCAGAAATCTTCATTCATTTACAGTTTCCAGATGAAGGTAGACAGCAGTATATCATTTATTCTTGCTGTTTTGTGATTCCCTTCCAGAAGCTGCATCTGTACGCCAGAGCCAGACTAGGTAAGTTCATTTTGCCTAAAACAAGAACTCCCATTCCATTTCAAAAAAACTTCCAAGATGGCGCCCAACCGCCATCTTGAAATTTGCAACTGCCACTTTCAAGATAAAATTTAGTTTTCATACAGCGATTTCACCTCTCCAGATTTCAGCTTGCTAACGTGCCCCGTTCAAAAAATAACTAACCCAAGATTAAATTGTCTTTTTTTATATAAAATAATAGTGAATCCACTTTTGCATGTGATGCATACAGTAAAACTAATTCGATATTGTTTTATATCCCATTCTTTCAAAACAAACTTGAAGTTGTCTCTTACCTAAGATATTTATATCGGCTTCTAGAAGATTATGCTTTTGCAATAGATCCTCGACACCCATCAGATGCTTGCCATAGTCGTCTGTCATCAGTCTGGCTTTCAATTCCTCCATAGCATCAAGAATGTGCAGCATTTCTTGGAAGTTTTGTTGTAGTTGCAACGATAGATCCAAGCGATTTCTGCGTGCTTTGAGCAATTCCAGAAGGTAATTCCATAGGCGCAGGACGTTCTCTTTTCTGGCGTTGATCCTCTCCATATCGTGATAGTTTTCAGCTTCTAACTCAGCGGCAACAGCAACCACAGCTTGTACCTGGAAAATTTAATATAACATAATGGAAACGGAACGCGGACCTCTAAAGGTCGCCACTGGAGATACGTGTTGCTTAAATAACTTTTTGACAACACCATACAATCCAACAAATCTTGTCATTATAATAACTAGTTGATTCCTTACATAGTGGTTTCCATGTAATATAATTAACTCATTTAGTTCGCCACAGACGGGTCAACAGGAAAACTTTTGTAAAGCCTGACACTTTTATTTGACGATTTCCCTCGTCTTAATTTCTACCAATCACAAACGCGCAATTTTGAATCACAAATGGCTTCTAGATGAAAACATTGCATGACAGCACCTGTCAGTAGTTTTTTCGAGCTTACCCGCGGAAAAACTTGACAGCTTTTGTCACCAAAAATTTCAATACCTTTGATAACAAGTAATTGTGGTCTCCCAGGACACCAGAAAGCTTTTGTAAGCTATGTGTATGAAGAATAGAAATGGTCTTGCCAAATACTACTCGGGTATATAATGTTTTTATGTGAAAATATTCAAAAAAACAATGCAGGTGCAGGTGCTGGCCAATCCGATTGAAGAAAATTTATCAAAGAGTAGCCTTCCACTGCTTACGTACCACACTATGCGGGAAGTAAAAGTCAGGCATAAGACCGTAAGCCGGTTCTCTTGTCGCTCGACATCAACAAAGCTTTTGGTCCAGACTCGATTCCTGTCGTTGTACTGAGAAATGTGCAGCGGAGCTTGATCCAGTTTCGCGTCTCTTCCAGATATCTTACAAATCTGGAACTTTCCCAGAAAACTGGAAATTTGCTCAAAAAAAAAAGACCGACTCTTAGATCTACAGGTCTATAGCGCTGCTTCCTGTTATAAGTAAGGTGATAAAGATGTGTATAGATCGGAAACTTCTGGAGTACCTGAAACTTCACGGCTTGATTAGTGACAGCTGGCCTTGTCACTTACATTACGCAACTATGGAGTAAACTCATCCAGTCATATGGTGAGGCTCATGTTGCTCTTAATATCACGGAAGCGATCGATCAGCTGTGGCATTTGTCCTATTATGTAAACTTCCATCCTAGAGAAGCTCAGCAGATATTTGGCTGATCTCTCTGGCTGTCGTAATTGACAGGGGAACCTTCATCCCAAAATGTCAACGCGTGTGTTCCCCAGGGATCGGTCTTACCACCAACATTGTTTCTCTTACATATGAACGACGTTCTTTCCTGTACAATTAATATCAGTTCATACTCGTAGTGACAAGCCGATCTCTGCCGGTGAGCTGGGGAAAAAGACTAGCAGCGACTTCTTCTCTGACAAGAGACCTGGTAGTTATCAATCAGTGGGAACGCAACAATCTGGTAGAGTTTAATGCTTCCTAAACACACTATTGCACAATGGCTAATAAGAGGCGGCCTAGCGCTCATCCGGTTTCGATGGATGGCCGAATTCTACCAAATTCGTTTAGGGCTAAGAAGTACTTTCCTCCACATAACTTCCTCACTCGATAAAAGACCCAGATAAGACCTAGAACATTGCTTACATATTTGGGGTGCTTCCGCCCCGACTACATTATCCATGTTCAATGTTATTCAGAGGAGGGCTGTCCGACTGATTGATGGCCCTTCTCTCACGGACCCTTGCGCACCGTCAGGCCGCTATGTTCACGGGTTTTGCTCCTTAGAGCTGTCCTGCATGTAGCCGCCGCGCGATGTGCCTGCCATACAGACCCGCCTGACTTCGGCCTCCCAACCTAACCGTGTTGAAATTCGTACATCCAGAACTGGCCGATACGACCGCTCCTTTGTCCCTAGGGTATCAAGATTGTGGAACAGTCTACCTGAGGAGCTTTACCAACTTTAGGCAGTTTAAAATTCGGATTAACGAAGTTTCTTAAGCTCCTCATAGTAGCCGCGCTGACCAAGTATTTAGGGTTCTGCCGTTACGGCTGCCTCGGTATAAAAAACGTTTTTAAAAACATTAGTCTTGTTTCAACACTTCACGATTTACACTGCAAGCAATCTTCCAAAAGTTGGACAAAAGCCTAAAACTTAGTAACGTGATTTTAAAAAAAGTATCACGTTTTTTCTTGTTCGCTAATATCACGATAGATAAAACCGTACTGAAATTAGGTGTATTTCTCAAACTAGTCTTAAACGATCTAAATGAGTTAATTTCTATCATTGACGTGTTAGACTTCGAATGGTTACTGTGTCATAATTTCATCGGATTGTACAGTGTCGTTGACTAGTTATTAAAGAAAAACCGATATCCGGTAAAGTCGTTCAAGGGCAATGGACAAGTCATATAATAGTCAGAATCCATCCTTGTATTTTTGTCATCATGCAAACATCAATATTTCTATTTTTGCATTAACATATTGGTTCATAGCATATCTTTGTCTAATGCAACATTGAAATGACGTATCTGGAATATATGGTACAATCTATGGTTCCCCGCCTTGCGGCTTCAACATACAAACACAAACATAATATAAAAAAAGTATGAATAAAAAAAAAAATACATGCCCTCGTAGCACAGTACCGGGTCGCTCGTTCATACTACAATCATACTTGCCCACTCGTTCCAAATATCCACCGCGTAACTTAATTTTACCACTTGTTCTGAGCTGTGGCATCAAGCTTCCACAACTGCTCGTCCAAATGTTGCATTATCGTGCGCTTTAATCATTCCTGGATCCTGCCTTCTTCTAACCCATATAATCCTCACTTTCAAACCTAGTTCCCTCATATACCCAATCATTTCTTTCACTTTCACCCTGACCTTATCTTTCATCCCTCGTCCATTTATGCATCTGACGGAGACCTGACTGTCTGTTCTGGAATATCTGCACTTACCCGTTCTTCGTAGGCAAATATATCAGTTTCAATAGCTTCATGTTTCTTAGCCGCAGCTTCTACAGCAGCCAAATCTTGCCCAAAGTTGTCCTGTGACACAAGCCTTTGGTTTTCGCTGAGCCAAGTTTCTCGCATGCTGGCTTTCCTGTTGAATCGTGCGGCTAGCTGTTCTAGTTTCTCTTGTCTGATCAACTCTTCTCTTAGTGCCAATTCTCTTTCGTGTTCGGCCTTTTCTAACCTCTCCCAAGCTTTGTTGATGTCCGATATCATTTTCCCTTCCTTTGGCGTGTACGGCTTTTGGTTGTTCGCCCTCATTTTGGATTGCAGCGTGAACAGGAGGATTTCCAGATTTCCTGTAACGAATTAAGTTTATGGAATACTGGTTCAGTTCAATAAAGTTCGTATACAGGGTGTTTCTCAATTGAATGTCAATATCTATGGGGGTTTGGTCCATATGAAGTTTGATATACAGGGTGGTAAAGCACTCAATATAGAAAATTCTTAAAATAATATAAAATGAAATCTGTATTTATTTATGAGCAGATTTAATCTCTTGAATTTATTCAGAACGATGCAGGGTTTTCGAAAAAAAAACAAGCTATTTCTCTGCCTGATGGTATTGTCATATCAATATTATTGTTATGATCATGCATAGAAATGGTTTTTATTTTTTAAGCCAAAACCTTGAATCAGATTTAAAAAATTGAGCAATCAAGTTTGCTTAGAAATGCGCCACTGGTGGAAATTAAAAAATGTAGTGCATTAAAAATGCATCTTGATACATAGTTTGTTCCTCTTATCATATTTGTTAAATACTGGAAATTTTGCCAAATAAAACAGCAACGCAAATTAAGCTGAAATCAGGTTGAAATCGAGTTGCCCAGGCTGCTTTTGATGTGAACAGCGCCTAATACAACTGAAAAAGATTATGATGAATCTAATTTGAAATAAACAAATAATTACCTTTTTCAACAAACTTTGGTGGTTTCTCGACAATTCGATAGTTATTGAACTGTCCCAGCTGTTGTTGTACACCAGACAGACTATTTGCGAATTGTCTTTCCCCTAACGCTTGTATGGTAGCTTCGATCCACGCAAGTAACTCGCTTGTCAGTGATTCATATTCTTTAATCATTCGTTCATTTTCCATTGCTATGCCTACGACTTTTCCAATACGTTTTCCTTGCACCTAGAAAACCAGAAAACGTTCAGATTAAGTCGCACCTCATACAAAACCTTGTTGGGTTTCAATACCAGGGTGTACAGTGGGAAAGTTCACATTTCAAATTTGAATTACGCGGCAACCGTATACGTGGGGAAAGGTCTTGATGGACGCGTTCGGCGTGCGGGTTAAATAGTCACAATGGAACGTTGGACCGGAGCGCAACGTGCTTTTGCTATCGAGGCTTACTTTAAGAGTGGTGATTCATACACAGCTGCCCTTCGGAAATTTTCTACACGATACAACATTCGCCGATCAAGAGAAGTGGATTAAGAGGTTCCGTGAAACAGGCTCTACTCTTAGTCAATCCATTCCTGGCCCCACACCCACCATATCAACCGAAGAAAATGTGCATGGGGTAAGTGATTCGGTAATTGCAAATCCTAGGCGCTCTATACGGAAGCATTCCACTGCTTTGGAAATCCCTAGGGCAACACTTCATGGCATAATGAAGAAAAAAATGGGTTTTCATGCTTATAAAATCCAATCAGTCCTTGCTTTACGGAAATCTTTTGCTGGACGGATGTTGAATATTTTTCCTACGCAGCGCAGACTCGAGAACGTTGTTTCAAGTGACGAGGCGCATTTTCACTTAGACGGTTATGTGAACAAGCAAAATTGCAGATATTGGGCACCAACGAACCCAACAGCTACATAGTACAAAGGTGACTGTTTCCTCTAGCGGTATTAGTGGGCCGTATTTCTTTGAAGATGAAAACGGTCATGTATTGAAAGTCAATTCCGAGCGATACAAGGACATGAGTGACACTTTTCTGCTTCTGTTGTAAGAACAGAACGTCGATTTTACAGAAACACATGGTTTTAACAGTATTGGGCCACTACCCATACTTCCAGAGAATCGATGGACAGGGTGAAAGCACTTTTTCCTCAAAAAGTTACATCGAAGTTTGGAGACAGCAACTGGCCTCCTAGGTCACCCGACCTCACGCCATGCGAACATTTTTGGTGGGGTTATCTAAAGTCAACAGTGTATTCCAATAATCCACGCCGAATTTACGAATATCTTGATAGTAATAAACATTTTCCTTTCATTATGTTTGTATTTTTTTTCTTAAATCAAAAAGTGAACTTTCCCATTATGAATGAAGTTATCACGACATGTCTTACCGTTTCTTGCTTCATTTTACTAAAGTAGTGGTAATATGTAACTACATATGTGATGATAGACTTCTCGTCAGGTTGCTCTACGAACACATCTTCAGCATCCAAAAGCTTGGTCAAGCCCAATTTATCTTCTGCTACGTTGAATGCATTGTTGAGGTTATAAATTGGATTTGATTTTGATAGTTTCTCGAAATGAACAAGATCTGGCCTGTGCTTGTGAATTATAGCGTTGAATGCCAAGCCGTCTCGCCACGAAGTTGTAAAGTTGCGTACATTCACGTTGTGATAGCCAGCTGTTTTCATCTGACACCATAAAAGAAGTGCATCCTGAAAAACAAAAAATCCGTTTGAATATTTTTTATATAACTCAACCTTGTAATTATAATAATAATAATAAGAATAATGCCTTTATTAGCTGCAGTTAGGCGAAGTTTAGCTACTCTTACACCCAACCCCACAACAGGAAAAAAAATACTTAAACACATAAACAAAATAATAACATACCAAAAAAATACAATTCATAAGAATGACAACATTGATTGCACGAGACAAATGCAGATAGTATTGCGAGAGTTTTAAATTTGAAACAAAAATAGTAGAAAATAGCCAAACAAAAAAAAGCACATGAACACAAGAAAAACTGAACTAAATGGACTCCAGCAGCTGACTTTTCATTAATTTCTTAAAAGAAGCAACCTATTTGGATCGATAGCCACTGTTGACTGCATTGTAATGCTTGACAGCATTATAGGTGTAACTTCTTTCAAAGACCGACGTATTGTGAGGAGGCATGTTAAAATTAGCATTAAATCTAAGAGCTCTGGTAACAAAACTACCTCGGTGAACTAATTTGCTAACGAGGTAAGCTGGTCTGTTAGATAATAGAACTTTTTGCGTGAAGACGGTCAAAAGATATAAAAATAATTCGCAACCAGTTGAGTTCTTTGATTTTATCTGAGACGCGACTAAACTTGCGCAATCCAAAAATAAACCTACAACAGCTGTTCTGAATTTTCTCGAGTTTCCTTTTGTGGACGTAGTCTAAACATGGGTATGGTTATTTTACATGTGTATATTGATTGATATTACATATGAAGGTTTGGCATAATATAGAATGTACAAGGGTTGATCCTTATGCTCTGCCCTTGATTGCCTTGCAATAAAGCTAAATTTATTTTTCTACCTAATCCCTATTAACGCAATCCATTTGTTCAATCGGTGCAGTGCAGTATTTCAAAGCCTCGCTGTAAAAAATTTGTCCGACTGCTGAAAACTACTTCTCCATGGTAGATATCACCTACTTAATACTTGAACATTTTTCCTCTGTTCTTTGAATTTTGGAAATAGTATGAAACCACTGGAGGTTAGGTCTGGCGATTGAAGTGGGTAATTTACCAGTTCAATGCCTGCTAAAAAATTATCTGAGATGAAATGAGATATCATTGCGTCATCTCTGAGAATTTGTCACAACTATGTTTCTCCTCTCTGCAATAATTTGATAAGGTTAGTGTGTATATCAGCATAAAGCGGAATCTATGAGACACTAACCTTTTTAAAGTAGCTAGTGTTTGTCTTGAAACATCATATCATGAACATTTTTAATGTTTCGCTCCATCGCTACCGGTAAAGATGACCCTCCGCCATATTGGTTTCCACAAAATGTCCTTCCACGCTTAAAATTTCGACACCAGCGGTTGCCTATATCATAAGAAACTGTGGGCCTCGTACCCTTTTTTGTAAATATTTTATTATTGTTATCTAATCAACAGTTTGTCATAGAAAATAAATAATTTGTTTATTTAATATAGTCAGATCACTTGTTTTACTGTCAGCAACATTTACCTGAGAAGTCAGGGGCGGGGCATAGAAATCAACCCTCATAACTCCATATTCTACCTTGATATAATATTCCTAGAAATGATGTTACCTTTGCAGATTTTGTTTCTTGATTATCAGTCTCTTCAATAGTGATATCTTGTATCTGGAAGCGAAGGATGATGGTCCAAATGAGACCAAGCGACAGTCTAGGATTCCCGTCTACGATATCGTGTGAGCCCATATTTTCTAGATGTACGCGCTGTTCTCTAAGAAACTGCAGCGCTTTATCTACGTTTTCTAGACAGTGGATACGCATCTTGCCTTTTGTTGGTCTGGGCAATCGTTCTCCTGAGAGTACCTCCAGCAGTTTGATAAGGTTCTTGCCATCCCTCATGTCTGTGTACAAGTCTGTGATGCGTGAGTTTACTCGAACTAAATGGGAATTTACCCATTTTTGAAAGGTTTTCTTCTGGACACTCTCTCGTTCATCTGGAATATGAATCAAGGCAAAGGTCAATTTAAAAGAAAACCACATGTTTTCGATACATGATGAGATTCATCCATTCTTGGGACAAGTGTTTGTAAAAGGAAGCTTCAAGGCAAAATTTAAATGATAAATGAAATACAAATGAAACAATGAAATTAAGAAATGTCCTAGCACGAAAATCTTTGATAATTTCAAGAAAAATCTTAAACCGTCTTTTTTAATATCATGCATCACAATTCATTGCATTTTACGTTATTTTATGGAAAACGGTGATCGAATTAACATTTTTCTTGAATATGTGAGTGTACATTTCCAACTAATCTTTTGAATATCGAAAGCTGCATCTGAAATTTTCGACAGTTTATTGAGACAGCTTTAAAAAATGTTCTCAGGAGAATTGAAGGGACGATTTAGCACGTTGCAATATGAAAAAAATCCATACGTAGGTCCTGAAAAGTTTTGTTTTGTTGTTTTATAAGGTATGTATGAGGTCTACGATGTTTAAGGTAAAATAAGTAATGAGACTGGCAACACAGCGTTCGATCTGGCAGTAATGGAGGCGCCGGGCTTGGAGGGAAGACAGTGGAAGATGTGATCCGCCTTCAGTACAAGTTTGAACTCGCTCGAGTCAGTTGGTTGTCTGTAGCGTTACAGTTTTTCCTATTGTGTTCTAAAAATGAGTAACATCAATTTCGAGCGACGGTGTGCTATCAGGTTTTGCTTCAGACTTAGCCACAGTACAACGGGATCTCATGAAATTGAAAAATCACCTCAAACGAACATTTTCGGACTGTCGAAAACATTAACATGGCTGTAACCGACCAGCTGAAGGCGATTCATGTATCTGAGTTCCAGCACTGCTATGAGGAGTGGAAAAACCATCTCCAGCGCTCTGTGGGAAGTTATTTTGAGGGTGACAACATAAAATTGTAATATTTGAATAAAAAAAAATCAGTCTCATCACTTAATGTACAGACATCGTACCTAAAATATGATTTTTATTCAAGCGCCATGTATATGAAGTAAACATTATTTTACTAAACAGAATATTAAAATATGTTTATCGTTATTGAATAATAGTAATCGAGTTGCTACTTTTTAACGAAGTTAACCAAAAACTCCAACAGACATTTTTCAGACAAAGAATATGACACTTATTTTTGCAAAAAGGCGAGGCGAACGATTTTTCACCACGCCTAAAGTTTAAACATCCTACATCTGCCCTTAAATTTTCATGAAACACCTTCTAACTCCATGTATCATGTATATGTTTATTAACCAATCAAATCAACTTCAATGTATAATTGATTGATGTGTTTGTATTCCAAAAAAAGAATGTAAGTATACTAATCTTCTAAAAATCCCTCCAACATAAAATGCTTAATGTACTAAAAATGATGAAATAAAAAAAACAGTGTGGTCATAGACATATTCTAGCCTGCCAGTTGGTTTCGTAATATGGGTTAAAGTAAATTACCAACTCGTAAAAATGTTTTATGCCTGTTATATCCTTTACAGTTTATACACTTGAAAATGGTCGTCATTCCAATTCGTCACACAAATGACCTCATTTGTTTTTAAAGCCACACAAATAAAATGAAGTATGCGAATAAGGCTGACCTGCTAACGCCTTGATTCTCGACCTTTCAAAAAGTCTGGATGATGAATTTCCACCGTCGTATTCATAATCATCGATGATTTCCTGCTGAAGTGTCGGGTCCCACCTCACTATACTGATGTCCGTCGTCATTTTGAGTGCTTGCCAGCCAGGCTGGTTTTACCTGAAAATAAAAATCCTACATTATGACAAACCGAAAAATATACGTTCGGGATTAATCAGGGGAAAATCATAAGTAACGCCGGACTTGGCTGGTAAAGGAATGCCTGACCTTTCGCGGCACATTGCCTTTGTTTTGTTGTATCTACATTCGGTTCAAAATGAACGAGACTTGTTTATTAGGCCTGCTATATTCACCGACTACTAAAAATATAGACCTATCCGTTTACATTCGGATTTTTGCAGACACCTCTTCGGAAATATGCCATGTTGCATGCCCCCCAATGGGGGCTAGTAAATCTCCAAAAATGCTTTCTATCACCAGTTAGTGTTCAGCTCCTATTGATAAATCAACAACAGGTAAAAGTATTCAAATGTACAAAGGGCACTCTAAAAGTTTTGCAATACAGCTTTATTTATTGACTTCGTTCAAAGTAATTTCCACCACATTCAATACACTTCTCCATCCGCCAGAACCAGTCCTTAAACCAGCTCTGCCAAGTTTCACCAGGGAGTGCGGCACACTCGTTGTCCAAAGCCCTCAGAAGCTCTCATCGCTAGAAAATCGTTTTCCTTTTAGCTTCATTTTCACATGCGGAAGCAGTGCAAATTCGCAGGGAGAAAGATCTGGACTGTAAGTAGGGTGCTCAATAAGTTTCAGTAAAGTAGTGGTCAAATACTCGGTGCAGGCTTTGGCGCGGTGAGGTGGAGCGTTATCATGGTGGAGGTACCAAGTATCCATTCTTGACTTTAGGCAGGCACTGTTCCGTGTACCACTTAGCTGTGACTGTCTTCTGTGTGTCCAAAACGACACGCCCCACCATCCCGCTCGATTTGAACAATACAGCTATCATTTTTTTCTTAACAGATCGGGATTTTCCGTCAGCTACGTGTGTGTCCTCATCATCAGAGCCCCAAGCTTTGTTTTGAGACTTGGTCGGCACATCGTAATAATAGAGCCAAGTCTCGTCACCTGTCACGATGCTGTTCTCATACCGAGATTCCCCCTAATCAAACATTTTCAGCATCTTTCGGCACCCAGTCGTACGCAAGTCTTCTGCTCTTCCGTCGTACTATGCGGTACCCAGAGAGAACAAAGTTTCCTTACGTGTAAAAGGTCATGCAGAATTGAATGAATTGCTGGTGCATGAAGGTGTAAGATATCTATCCTCTATCCTCAAGCATTTTCCTCCCAGCAGTAATGTTTTCCTCTGTTACTGACGTTCGCGGCCTTCCTTCCCTCTCAGCGTCCTCCAGAGAGAAATAGCCCCTTCAGAATTCTCGGTACGTCGTACGATGAGGACAATCTTTCTTCAATGCAAGCGTCACTTCTTCTAGGCACTGGTCTATGCTTAAACCACCCGTAAAGTTATACCGTAAACACACTCATGGACATGTCTCAACATGCAGCCTCCTGCGTCCTTTTGTTGAGTCACATTGCAAAACTTTTATAGTACCATTTGTACTTAGTAATATATCTTCGATAACGTGATGAGAAAAATTATTTATCATTAGGTTATGTTTAGCAAAAATGTAATAGGACAACTAGCCGCAACAATTGACAACGTCGCATACGTACTTATCGGATGTGTAAACGCTTCATTCATAATTCGAATGTGCCATATGAGTTTTCGTGTTGACGAAGCAACTTGTCATTTGGATTTTCTTCATTTTTGTCGGCAAAGATTGTTCGCATCTTTGTGAAATTTATAATGGTGAGACACTGCTAAACAGGGTGTTTCAAATTCGACCCTCACCATTGAGATCTCGGAAACTAAGATGTACGAAGTCGATAAAATGAAGCAAAGTTGCGAATTCAGATAATCAACGAAATGCCGCTTAGAAAGTTTCGAAATTTCTCGGAAAGTACTTTGAGGGTCGAATTTGAAACACCCTGAATATTGAAAATTATATCCCACAAGACAGAAGAACATATTTCGTTCCATAGGTAAGTATAGGTTATGTTTATGCTTTATTTTCGATTCCCAGAGACGTGGTTGTTATTCCCTAACCCCAAGTTGGATGATGCTATTCGCCTCCGATTTTTGCACAATGTTCACTTCATAAATGTAATTTTATTACTGTTTTTTTATTTATCAGTAGCATACTATGCAACTTTTTAGTTATATCCAAATTAGCCCAAACTTTATATTTTCTATGCGACCCAGACCTTTTGTGCAACAGAATGTGCCACAGTTTTTTGTCTTCATACCTCTCGATACTTGAATACTAGTGAACTGTACATATCGATACTGTAAATCGAATCAAGTCACTGCAAAAGCAGCAAGATACATGTTTAATTCATATTTGAGGAAAACTGTTTCGATTTGGGCTATCAGATGAGTAGTGCTTGTAAAATTGACGTTTTTCTTTTATTAGCGAGATGTTGAAAATCATGTTCAAATGAGAGCTACCTGATTTGACATATAAACTATTTTTTTCACTACTGACTCATGAAATCGTCATTACTGACCTCAATGCCTCAGTTGCATTTCTCTTTCTGAACCAAAAACAAGACGAGGATTCAAAGTTACATGATTTTGTTTTACTTTATCAAATAAAACAAATTAACCCAACAATTTATCACTTGATTTATATAATGCCTCGAAAAAGTGCCCTCCTGAAAAATTGCCGACCAGGCCCTTTTTCTTAAATCTGCCATCGAACAGTATTCAAACATGAGCTTCAGCCTCGAATACCGATTCTTGCGAATCGTATGACCCCCAAAGTCGGCCATTTACAGGCATTTATATGTTCGCAGCGAATTGGCTATATTCCTATCAGATAATATCGAGAAGGGGAAACAATAAGTAACACAGAAAATTTAAACACGTCTTGCAGAAGGCCTGCTGCTACCAAAAGTATGTTAAATATCCAAACTTTGGAGGGAAACCCGGTTTTTAGGCACCCCCTATGGGAAAATTAAACCACAACTCTTTGCTTTTTTTACATTGTATATCTTCCTTGGGCTAGGTGCATGTTCGATCGTGCCTTGAATACTCGTGATGAGTTTTAAATGCAAAGGCCTGGTACGTTACGGTCGTAAAATGTAGAATGTAAAAGGTAATCAGATCAATAGATAGGGAATTATATAAACATACATCTCCATCATACAGAAGTCAAGTCGAAAGCAAATGAGTAAACTACGCTGTATCCATAAAATATCACAGGATCTTATTTACATTGCAATGCTAAACAAAAATGTAACTGATATTAAGAATATCGAAGAGTGGTTGCATTTCTTTAAAGCAGACAGATTGCGGTTTGGTAGGGATGAAGTATTATTGACTCAGCGAGAGAATGAATAGCAAAAGAATACTCGTAACGCATTCTTTAAGCGACATGTTTTTAATCTTTTGTAGCTTATAGCTATTCATATAGCTATAAGCTACAAAACGCTTTCAAGCTGTTTTGTATAACAACACTGTATAGTTGTATATTTAAAATCAAATTCCTGAAAGAAGCAAATAATCAGCGACGATAAGGATCTAAAAGAAACAACTAGTTCTTTGAACGCGCTATCTTCAACATGTAACTGTGACCAGTTTTCCAGAGTTTGTTTTGATGTTAATTCGTTGTTACATTTTAGATAGTTCTGCTGGGCAATCACCGAATTATCCGACAAGCCGAAATGAACGGCTCTTTGGCAGAACTTTGGAAGCATTCAACTGTACAAGACTGTTGCGTCCCCAAGCAATTATAACCTCCATGTATCTCGTCAGAGAGGAACTCGATGGTAGTCTTTTCCAGCTCACCAGCAGAGATCGGCTTATCGCTCTGAATTCCTGCATACAGAGTGCTGTCATCAGCAAAGCTGTGGATTGGAGAAACAATGTCGGAACCAAGGGCGATCCCTGGGGAACACCCGCGTTGGTGTTGCGGGTTGAAAATGAGAACCGATTGCAGTTTGATGATCATAGTAATAATAAAATTCTACCCAATCATCAGCGAGTTTGAACACTAAAACTTATAAAAAACATCCCCTGAGAGCTGGTACAAACATACTGAATATAATATAAAAACTAAATACAAGATAACAGTTGAAAGATGATTTCTGGCATAATAAAAAAGACAATAATATAAAAAATATAGACGGGTAGAAAGTCAAGGTGAAGCCGTGTCATATGTTCACTGTCAGTCGAGTAATTTATTGATGTTAACCTAAGCTTCTCTGGCAGCAAATTGATATAATCGCATTAAAAATAAAACATCTACGGAACAAGGCTGAGGACCATGTTGAGAAATTAATGCGCAGAGAATTAGAAGAATAAATGTTATTCAAAAATGTATCAGTAAAGCAGTTCAAATGAATATATTTGCATTTTCCATATTTAACAAATGTGAGAAATGAGATCGTAACGCCTCATCCCCCTACAGCAGCTTTTCTGAACTTTTTGGATACCCAACTCGTCAGCATGGACCAAAGAAAGCGTATATAAAATCGTAATAGCTGAAATGAGTTAAGTTCACACAACGTTCTCTTCATTTTGAGATTATATGTTTGCTGCTATAAATTAGTTTCAGCGACGCATTAACATTACCTGAGTTTTTACATGCTCAAAAACGCAAATTGTTATCAATAATTACCCCCAAATTTCTATCAAACTTCAAACAGTGCACCGTAGATTTGGAGATTTTTAACCAATATATAATACTTTAGATATTGTTTAATTCAGTTTCCAATTATGTGACCAAAAGCATTTTAATTCTATTCAGCTCATTATTAAGAGTATCCTGGCAATATGAGCGTTACTGTGGAGTGAAAAGTAGAATAAAGCTTCGTGCATCAGCAAATGCTTCGATTTTACAGTTTCGAATACCGTTTAACATGTCAGCGGTATAAATAATAAAAAATGAAGGACCTAGCATGAGGCCTTGCATAACTTCAGATAAAATGTCAATACTGTTAAGGTGGGATCCGTTAATAAAAACAAAAAAAAAATGTGAAGGTTTCACTAAAACCATAGTATCACAGCTTAACACAAAGTAACTCATGATTGTTTG